CATTTTGTCTTACTATCAAGTCCATAAAATAATGTATTCATGATAATGTCTCAACTCCTGCCTGCAACGGTTTCCTTAGCTGCTTTGGCGCTTCTCTTTGTGCCACTTCGGATTTTGGGCTCATGAATGTTTTGACTTACATCTTGACTTACATCTAGAAATTGATAATGAGTGTCGGTTGAAAACAAAACTTTACGACAAAAGAGATGATTTCAGCTTTCCAATTGTGAACTTTTCATTTCTATGTAGCAACATTTCAGCCGCGCCTGCATACGGAGCATATATCTCCCAGTTGATACAATATTCCAGGGCTGGTGTTTCCTATCATGATTTCCTTGATAGAGGGTTGCTGCTCACAAGAAAGCTATTAAACCAAAAGCTCCAAGTGGTGAAGTTGAAATCATCCTTCGTAAATTTTATGGGTGCCATCACGAGTTGGTTGACCGTTATGGAATATCTGTTTCACAGATGACGACGGATATGTTCCATTTGTCGTAACTACAATCTCGTACCCTTTCCACCGAATGTGACCTACCGAATTAGACATGTCACCGGGTTTGTACTTACATGATGCCACATGTGGAGCAGGATCTGCTTACCCTTCCGGAGCACCTGTGATCACCCCCAGTTTTTGGTGGGGTTCGTGTTGCTCAGTCTTTGGTTTTCTATGTTGTTTTGTGTACTGTTGTTTGTCTGTTTGTCTTTTTCTTTTTAACCATCGCTTTGTCAGTTTATTTTCGACCTACGTGTTTGAATGTCCCTTTGGTATCCTTGAATTTCAAACTTTTAGTATATTAAAACCAGGACTGACATGAAAATATGAAATCACTGTTAGTTTTTGAAAGAACTACGATTGAATAATGGACCTGTCACCATCAACATATATAATAAAACTGCTTGTGAGCACTGAAGAGTAAAAATTGCTTTTATTTTGCAATGTGAACTAAAAATTAAACATTGTTGTGCATTAAGACAAATCTTATATTTTGAATTGGGGTTATCTTCCTTTGTTCATAATTGGACAGGTTTTAGATGAACCGATTAATACACTGTGCACAACTAATGTAATTTAAATCAGTTTTCTTGACAGAATAGTTATTCAAAAACTGAGTATAAGAGAGGCGAAAGATACCAAAGGGACATTCAAACTCACAAGACGAAAATAAACTGACAACGCCATGGATAAAAAGAAAAAGACAAACAAACAACAGCACACAAACACAACATAGAAAACCAAAGACTGAGCAACACGAACCCCACCAAAAACTGGGGTTGATCTCAGGTGCTCCAGAAAGGTAAGTAGATCCTGCTCCACATGTGGCACCCTTCGTGTTGCTCATGTTAGTACAAGTCTAATTCGGAAGGTCACATTCGGGGAAAAGGGAAAAGGGAAAAGGAAAACATATCATTAATAAATTACATGTAATTGCCTGGATAGGATCTAAAGTATGTTCACTTCGCTGCAATGTATTGTTTTAACTATGAAAGGTGGTTATTAACCATGGAAGATATAGATATCGAGCCAGTCACCTAAAGGTTCTGAATACATAAATGCAATCTTAACCCAAACAATGGAAATATATTTTCAAAATATCGAAAATAGTAAAGTTGACCAATATAGTTGTATATCCAGAGAGGCGTTGTAGGATTTCAGTGAAACATTTCTTCCGAATTTGACATCAAAATGCATGATATATATAATAAATAAGATAAGCGATAATTGTATTTAGGCGAAATTTTGTTCCCTTGACAACCTTTAAAAGAATGGGAGTAAAAACTAGCTTACAATAATTTTTCAATAAGAAAATAGCCTGCTTTTAAATGAGGACCCCTTTCCCCTTTCTCGCCTTAGAAAAATATTTTATATGTTTGAATTAATACACTGTGTTGTCCTATTCTTAAAACATGTAACATGACTGTCAACACGAAGCTGGCGTTGTTTTAAAATGACGAAGCATTGCAGTATTCCACCTCGTACAAGTGGTTTGAATAAAAAACAGAATGACAACAACAATAATCAAGTTGAATTCACCGAAACAATCGAGGATCCTTTTCAACAAATTTTCCTCTAAAAATATGACAGTTGTTGTCAAAACAAAGACGTTGAGTAATCAACAGTGTAAAAACCAGAAGAATCCTTAGCTACAGAATAATGGACTGAACAACACACTGAATACAAATATCAAATGTTAGTTCACGATGGATATTAATAATACTGTTACAGCCTGTTCACAAAATGTTCACACTCAATGAGGACAATGTAAGATTAAAAAGAGAACATGAGATAACTAACGGTGTAAATTACTAGTATATCACCCGTCTTACGAATTTGAAATTGAATACTAGTATTCCTAACAGTACATGAGCAATTGTGAACCCAAAAAGACTGCAATCCTTAAGAATTATATATATGTTGCATGTCTAATTCGTCACTACATTTATTTGCCCTTAAACACGTGCAAAGCTATGTAAAGATAAAGCAAAACATCTGAAATGAAGAATGGATTAATGTTGAGAGAAAATACAAATATTTTCGTAGAAGTGCTTAAACCAATTCTAAATGGGATTTTAAATATATTAAACAAGGTGGTAGATTTGTTTGCTCAATTTAGGCAACAGTAGTTTTCCGATTTTCATATCACATTAGTCGATTATGAAGACAAATCAAGGAAACAAAAAAAAATTGAAGGAATCGCATGAACTCCAAAAGGACAGAAACTGGGTGCGTCGACAGGATAAGCGTTTCCTGTTATGCATACATTACCCGCAATGCGAATCCATACTCTGTCAAAATATCCCAATAGGGAATGTGACACAATAGGTAAAATTATAGATTATACGACTAAACCATAGAATGTAGAGATGTAATGGCAAAATTAACAAACCTATTTCAGAGTGGCATTACACTGAGTTTTACCAAAACATTTATGAATCTGAGAGATATAGAAGCGCTTTGCGAAAAATCTTATTGTGATTCCCTTAATCTCATTTTAAGTGCTTTACTACTCAACTCTTTTTAATTTCTGCTAAACATATTCATGCGATTTTAGGTATATGCCAACTCAACAGAATTGGATAGTTATACTTTAATTTCTTCTTAAATACATTTAAAAAAATATTAAGAAACTAAGGTTCCAACTTCCTCAATCGAAGTTGATCTTAGGTTGATTTGACTATTCTTTTAAGGTCCCGTTTGGTCATATAGCTTCTCAAGATTTCAAAAACTTAAAACACTTTTTTGGGGGGTTCGTTCATTCCTGTTGAAGGTAAATTCAGAAAAAAAGTGAACTTTGGTTGATTTGGCTCTAATTTTTAGGTACCGTTTGGTCGTATAGCCCACAAGACTTAGTATTAATTCATCCTGGGCTATTCCAAATTATTGTTGACCTAAGGTTGACTTGACTATTTTTTTGCGCCACTGGTGAAGGTAAGGGAGCTACCATTTGATTTTTATGGAGGGGGCTAGGATGAAAAATTTTGTCCTGCATTTTTTTTTTTAGTTGTAATCTCTGTCCTGCCTTTTTATTTTTTTCTCTATTCGGTCCTGCCTTTTTTTTTAATAGTTTATCCTGAATTTTTTTACATAAATTGTCATCCTGCCTTTTTTTTTTGCCAAGTTGCTCATCCTGCCTTTTTTTTTACTCAAAACTCCTGTCCTGCCTTTTTTTTTTTAAATTTCATCCTGTTGATAAATCTAGAAATGTTATAGACAATAAGGTTCTAACTCCCACCGGCAAAGTTGACCTAAAGTTGGCTTGACTATTCATTTAGGTCCTTTTTGTTCATATAGCTTCTCAAGTATCAAATTATATATACTGCCTTGACGTTCATTCTAGTTACGCGTACCTGATAACGGTAAATCCAGAAAAGCGCTTCGGACGCACCAAATTTACACAGTGTTATTTCCTTATGATACAGCACAAAGTCAGATATAATACGACATAACATGATAAGGAAAGCTTTTAGGCAAAAAAGAACATTTAATCATGCAATTTTCATAAAGCCTGGTACAGTGAGCGAATGAAATATTTTAACTTATTTCATTGTTCAGAGGTTGTTGACACGGAATAATATGACTGCAAAAGCGCGTGTGCATTAAATGTTTAGATTATTCTTAACTGTTTGGATTCAGGCGCCACTGATGAGTTTATATCAATGAAACGTGTCTGTGCTGACATGAGATTTTATTGATGTGATCAATCGCTGTAAATTTACTGTTCATAAAATGTAAATTATTCGAGCACTTAATTTAAGTTATTCTACCCCAGAAAAAGATTGTTTTATCCAGATAAGACACAGCTTTTTGTGTTTTTCATATAAGTGTTCCTTTACTTCGTATTTGATTTGGTTTTCCAACTATCTTGATTCGAGCGCCACTGGTTATCCTTACGTAGACGAAACGCGCATTTGGCCTACTTAATATAAACCAGGTATCTTTCGTGTATTTGAACAAACACGTGGTCGGTAATACTGCTTGTAGATGTTCGGTACCCAATTGTATCACCAACTCAATAGTCAGCATCTATGTGCTGACATTCAATATCATTGACACGGACATTCGTTCTATGTAAATTTAGATTAGTAAGTTGAAGTTGGTTTACACCAGTTTTGTGAGTATTGAACTCTTTTCTCTATCTCGTTCAGTGAAACTACAATAGGTGCCGAGAGATAAAGCCACACGATAAATATAAAATTATATTTCTTTTGGGGAAAAACTCATCAAAGATACCAGACGAGCGTGTCCTCTACAAAAGACTCATCAGTGACGCTCGAATAAAAAAAGTTAAAAGGCTATATCAAGTACGAAGTTGAAGAGCATTGAGGACCCAAAATTCCGAAAGTATTTCTTTTGGAAGCGAATGTGTTCAGCAGATGGTAAATATACAAGATGCAAATTCCGTCACATTGAAAACGTCTGTTATAAAATTGTGTGGTGCGATTGCCAATGTGATAACTAGTATAGCTTATATCTGAACATGTAAAAATCACAATGAAAACGATCATATTTTATTTTTAATTAAAAAAAATATATGTAAAATACTTTTATGCGACCAGCGCAATGAACACTTAAATAATGAAGACCATGACAAATGCAAACATGTTACATATTACGATAGATCCGGTATTGTTTCCATCGTTTTGCTTTATATGTTTCAAAACAGTTGTATTTCATATGGTCTTCATATATAATATATGAAGGATATAAAAATATAATCGATACAAAAACAATTAAATAAATAAATTATAATATCAATATTCTTTAAAGCTATTCCACACAGCTAATATAAATTTCTCTTACAAAATTATCTTAACGCTTGATATATGGCTGAACTTGCCATATTTCATTACACATTTTAAATTGTCAAATACCAAAATGGTGAACAAAAGATTAGTATTTAAATATAAAAACCTTTTGACATATTGCATTGCTTAATGTTTGAAACAACACATATTCCTGTGATTTCCTATATGATTTTTACGAACAATAATTTTTCTTCAGATCATATTTTATACATCAAACTCTTCAGTATTTGTCATGCGCAAATCTGACTTCCATCGTTTCTGTTTCTTGTAGATGTATTTTTTTTTTCAGACAGTCACCTAAAAGGCTACCATACCACGCAACATTTGCTGCGTTCTTATAAATGGCTAATCCTTCCATGGCTGCAAAATATTATCTTGGAATTTTTTCTGACACACACGCAGTTATATGTGACCAGCACATTCGCAGTATCAGAGTCTTTGGTATACAATATTACACCAATGTATCTAATATTAGTATATAAAATCGAAATATCTTCTGCTGAATAAACTACTAGTATTCGATTCCAAAGCTTTAGGCATCGCACAGTCAGACTACTGATGTCTACAACACATCCCGGTCACAGAAATAAGTAGTCCGACTTTATGAGACTCATTTATCAGTAAAATATGTTCTGTATATCCTTGCTGTAGTTAGATTGTCGTTTGCTTTGATTTTCGGCTTGCAACTAAAACCCCGTCTTAGGCCGCAAAAAGCTTTCTACGGGTCGGGCGCCGTCCATTACATCCCATTCTCTATATGCACTAACTTCGTCGTTTTCACGCTCGTCGGATTTCATCATTAAGATGCATCTCCCATAAAGACATATCTTGTTCTTTGTTAGATCCTACAAAGTAAATATATTTTGTCACATCAATGTTTCCTTATTTGTGCAAATGGAGTTCAAGTTTTGATGAAATGGATGACTATTCTGAAATCCATATATTCCCAAATATCACTTTACTATCATTCTAATTTCCTGTCAACATTGGTCATGCTTTGAACTAGCAAACTTTTAACATTTGTTAGAATTGAATCTTCAAGTTATGAAACTGCCCGTGAGCCCCATCAATCGCGGACGGAAACGAAAATAAGAAATGAAAAAGAAAAAAAAATGAATTTCCACCATATCTGAACGTTTGTTTGACTCTAGTTTTCTATGTTGTGTTTTGTGTACTGTTGTTGTCTGTTTGTCTTTTTCATTTTTAGCCATGGTGTTGTCAGTTTATTTTCCACTTATGAGTTTGAATGTCCCTTTGGTATCCTTCGCCTCTCGTCTGAACGATGCAATCACCATCGTGGTTACCATCACAGTGGTTTAACTATCTTAAATACTTTTCTAAGTTCTAGCAAAAATTCTTTATTTGTTATACTTAAAAACAAATCTGTGCAAAGACGATTCTCATAAACGCAAGCGTTTTTGTTCTGGTTGTAGAAATCTTATATTATATACTGAGCTGAGATATGGATATTTTATTCTAAACGCGATCTTTTTCGTGTTTATCTAAAGATCCTAGTTGTAATTAAGGATGGTCATTTGAAGATGCTATTTTGATGTATTTTTCGTTTTTCATCATTTCAAAAGTGAAACCCTGCGATTTATAGACTTTGCATTACCTCAAGCCGAAAACATAAAAAAATATTCAAATCAGCAGAAGACTGACATCAAGAAGACAAAGCGTTTTATTTTCTTTTTAATTTCTTCTGAAATGCAAATGAAAGAAAAACAATGAGACTTACCGAGCGCTAACGGTGATGCACCACATTCATCTAACCCAAAAGGTGAACCTTGGTATCTCATATAATCTGGAATAAGTCTTGGTAAGAATACACCAGCAAATGGATTATCCATTGACCTGAATTGTAAAAAACGAAAGAATTAATAAAAATCAGTTTTACAAAATATCTATAGAACAATGTATGTACATCCGATGTTCTTTGGTCATTTTCTTAGCCATTTTTTTATGGACCCTTGTTATTCTGAGTAGATTACTGTTTGTTTCATTTTCTGTGTTTCTTTCATCTTTGACGGAATGTAGGAGTCATGTCACTTTTCTTGTATGATTTATAATGCTTACTCTGTGTCGTTATATTTGATACTAATAACATACATAGTTTGGTTGGACAAAAGTGTTTTTATTTTTTGCATCTTGATTTAATAGTATACTTCATAAACGGACCTTAGGAGTTTGACTCATGTTGTCACTGTATGCATGATTTGTTGTTTTTTTTTTGTTTAACGTCCAGCGGTAAATATTTTACACACATACAAAGCGAAAACACACCAATATGTAGGTTCTGCAAGTAGGTCCACCGGGCTGAAAGTCTGGAATTTCGAATGCCATTGGAAAATGAGTGTATGATTAATAAGGATGGACATTTTGCCTTGCAACTGTCCCCCTACGAACTCCTCAAAGAAATGTTGCAACGGTTCTTTGACGTTCAGAAAGTGTGGTGCTCTCCTTATAACGAGGCATTTAACTAGACGTAGCTGCGTATTTATACATCCCTCACCGCCAAACGGATGCCCTCTTTGGCTTTGGTTTTATAATGATTGATGAATGATAGAGAGAAGTTCAGCTGACCACATTTTATAGCCCATTCTACTATTTACTTTGTACAGGATACTCTTTTGATATCATACTAATCGAATGTCTCTACAAATTTGAAAAGAAATATTTGTTTTGACCTTACCATTTTTGCAGACTATGATTCATTTTCTGTAGTAAATCAGGTTTATGTAAATATTAAACAGTAGAACGTATAAGGATTTTCTTAGATTCTAATATTTGTTAAAGAACATTTGATCGAAAAAAATTTACATGCACAACGTATTTTTGGCGTTTTTTTTTAAATAAAAAAAATTATTTTACTAGTGTTTTAGTGTTATATCACAGTAAACACTGAACAAAAATCTTTCAAATATATCATTAGGAACTCTTTTTGAAATAAAATATATTCAATCGGATTGGTTTTTTTTTAGAATAAATACTCACATTTCAGAACTTGTTTCTTCGTCTTTTTCTGGTTCCCATTTCTTACGTCTTACACAAAGGCACCAGCAACAACACGCCATTGCAATAACTAATAATAAACCAGCTACTGCCGCTACTGGAACAACTATTCTCAATAAATCATCATCGGTTGCTGCTGCTGTCTGACAATTATTACCTGTGTAAGCTGTTGTACACCTGTAAAATAGTATGAAGAGTTTGTAAGAATTTCCACTGAGGTTGTGAGTTCTTTCCTATCGAAGGTCGGTGGTTCTCTGGTGGCACTCCGGCTTCCTCCGCCAATAAAAAGTAACCGCCACGAAATAACACAATGTGCTGAAAAAACACCAACCAATCAATCAATCCTTTACACATGTACCGAAAAGGTCGATCTAATCTGTTCACACTGTGATTGGTGTCTCCCTTTTCACATATTTGTATTACTTTAGAGTATTGTTCTCCAATAAAAAAATAAAACATATCATAATCATTTTTAAACTTTAATTATACTTGTAATTGCTCTGCTGCTTTGGAGCGTCATAATTAACAAATCAAAGTAAAGTATTGTATTGTATATGTACCTGCACTCCGGTTTATTATTTCCATTGACGAAACATTTGCCACCATTTAAACAAGTCTTCTGATGATCATAGAGAAAGCACGCGTCATCAAGTGGAACTATAAGGGGAAAAAATATAATAAAGGTAAAAAAAATAAGGGGGAAAAATACAAGTTATTATAAAACTGCTAGACTAATTGTTAATTACAACACCTATAATTGCTTATATCCACTTCATTCAACTCTTGTGGATAGTTGTTTCATTGTCTCATACAACATCTCCTTATTTTTATATTCAAGATCAGATCACCCCCTGGTTTTTGGTGGGGTTCGTGTTGAATAGATTTTAGTTATTTATGTTCTATTTTGTACACTGTTGTTTGTCTTTTGGTCGGTTTTTTGTCTTTTGCCGTGACATTGTCAGTTCGTTTACGACTAATGAATTTGATTATCCCTTTTATTATCTTTCGCCTCTCTCTCCTTCAAGTATCATTTTAAACATGAATTAACACAATTAAACATATTACTCCTAACAATTACCAAAAATACATAATAAAATAAATGATTTGATAAACATTTTTGTTAGATTATTGTTTTTGTAATAATTATATCAAAATAATGATTATTTTGTAATAAATATATTAATATAATGATTATTTTTGTTAGATTATCTTGTATACAAATGATTTTCAGTGAAATCGTTTGGCCAAATTCATAAAATCCTTTGCATGTGTATTTCATTGTTTGCTCCATAATTGCGATTGTACGTGTCTCTAAGATGGTGGTTAAATTGTGAAAATACGACAAACAAGTTTGTGTAAGCAAAGTATACCTTCAACTGTTAAGGCTCCTGTATCGGTTACCAATATAGTAGGAGGTGATTGTATCAACTTGACATTGCCACCTATAGACAGTCCGCCATTGTTCTTAATGGATTGCAGCAATGTTTGTCCATAAGCTCCTTGTGGAGATGTGTCTACAGTGTTGTTAGTTTTCACACGAAAATCCACTAATATTGTTCCATTAACAACACTGCAAATGAAATTATGTAACAATTCAGGTAAGATAAGATAAAAAAAAACTAATAAAAAATAACAGGCTCATAATTATATACATCAGACACGTGTTTCTTCAACAAAAGACTCATACTTATATACGCCAGACACGCGTTTCGTCAACAAAAGACTCTTCAGTGAAGCTCGAATCAAAAAAGTTAAAAAGCTAAATAAAGTACAAAGTTGAAGAGAATTGATTTCTAAAATTTCCGAAAAGTTTTGCCAAATACAGCTGAGTTAACTTATTCCTGTGGTAGAAAATCCTTAGTATTTCGAACAATTCAAAGTTTTATATAGATGTCCTTGATTACAGATCAAATGACATATTACATTTTATGTTGATTAAAGTAACTACAGTAAAATATATTAATGCTCAAATATAAAAAATGTCAATATTTACCTTATATTCAGAATTGATATTCCATTATATCCTGGGTCCGACTTGAAAATATCTTTAAGCTAGAAAAAAATATATATGAAAGTATAACACATATTTTTAAATTATATGTATCAAGTATAAATGTATCAAACTAACATTGAAAAGTGCCTCTGAAATGAGTTGGTTCTGTACGAACCAATGCATAAACGGAGTGCTATATTTTATCCAAGATTTGTTGCATTAATCAGTAAAAATGTCTAAAAAATTGTTTATTTTGAAATACATAGACTGCTTATTTAAAATCGTTTATTTTCGTGCGCCCGAAACGCTTTTCTGGAGATATCTTATGAGGAACGATCAAAAACCCCAAAATTTGAAAGCCAAGGATGCATAAGTTTACCTCATGTTTCCATTGTGTGGCATAATCATCATTAAAATCCATTAGAATATTTACTAGTCTGTATTTACATGCGCAACATGACGGGTGTCACATGATCTGCTTAACCCTCCGGAGTACCTGAGATCACCCCCGGTTTTTGGTGGGGTTCGTGTTGCTCAGTCTTTAGTTTTCTATGTTGTGATTTGTATATTGTTGTTTGTCTTTTGATCGTTTTTCTTTTTTTTTGCCATGGCACTGTCAGTTTTTTTTTCGACTTATGAGTTTAAATAGCCCTTTGGTATCTTTCATCTCTCTTTTAAATGTTTTCAATTTATGGATTTTTAGACTCACTTTGGATGCTTACAAATTTTGTAGAAAAGTGTTGTGTCAATCTTAAAGTCGGCAGTTTTAAAATGGACGGTCGGATTATCAATGTATTTGAATGAGGAACTTACACAGGTGTTTAGACTTGATGTTTTGTTCGGCATTTACTCATTTTAATATTTTACTTACCCCTGACAATAAATTCTGATATTCTGTAGAAGATGGATTGTTATACACAGAAGGGTCAGAAGCTGCATCGTCTACAAATGAAACTCGGAAAGAGACTCCTGTTGTATTTGTAGTAACTGTTGTAGCTTCTGTAGTCTCAACTATAGTCTGTTCTGCAGTTGTAGTGGGAATTCCTGTAGTGGTTAGTTGCTCAGTTGTAGTGGGCATTCCTGTAGTGTTTAGTTGCTCATATGTAGTGAGACTTCCTGTAGTGGTTAGTTCCTCAGTTGTAGTGGGAATTCCTGTAGTGGTTAGTTGCTCAGTTGTAGTGGGAATTCCTGTAGTGGTTAGTTGCTTAGTTGTAGTGGGAATTCCTGTAGTGGTTAGTTGCTGTTCTGTTATGGTAGGAACTTCAGTGGTAATAGTTCGTTCTGATGCTGTAGTTCCAGTCTGTGTTGTGACTGTAACTTGTTCTGTTGTGGTAGGAACATCAGTGGTAACAGTTTTTGCTGATGCTGTAGTTCCAGTCTGTGTTGTTACTGTAACCTGTTCTGATGTGGAAGGAACGTCAGTGGTAACTGTTTGTTCTGATGCTGTAGTTCCAGTCTGTGTTGTGATTGTAGCCTGTTCTGTTGTGGTAGGAACGTCAGTGGTAACAGTTTTTGCTGATGCTGTAGTTCCAGTCTGTGTTGTGACTGTAACCTGTTCTGTTGTGGTAGGAACATCAGTGGTAACTGTTTGTTCTGATGCTGTAGTTCCAGTCTGTGTTGTGACTGTAACCTGTTCTGATGTGGTAGGAATGTCAGTGGTAACTGTTTGTTCTGATGCTGTAGTTCCAGTCTGTGTTGTGATTGTAACCTGTTCTGATGTGGTAGGAATGTCAGTGGTAACTGTTTGTTCTGATGCTGTAGTTCCAGTCTGTGTTGTGATTGTAGCCTGTTCTGTTGTGGTAGGAACGTCAGTGGAAACAGTTTGCTCTGATGCTGTAGTTCCAGTCTGTGTTGTGACTGTAGCCTGTTCTGATGTGGTAGGAACATCAGTGGTAACATTTTTTGCTGATGCTGTAGTTCCAGTCTGTGTTGTGACTGTTACCTGTTCTGATGTGGTAGGAACGTCAGTGGTAACTGTTTGTTCTGATGCTGTAGTTCCAGTCTGTGTTGTGATTGTAGCCTGTTCTGTTGTGGTATGAACTTCAGTGGTAACAGTTTGTTCTGATGCTGTAGTTCCAGTCTGTGTTGTGATTGTTGCCTGTTCTGCCGTGGTAGGAATGTCAGTGGTAACAGTTTGTTCTGATGCTGTAGTTTCAGTCTGTGTTGTGATTGTTGCCTGTTCTGCCGTGGTAGGAATGTCAGTGGTAAAATTTTGTGTTGATGCTGTAGTTTCAGTCTGTTTTGTGATTGTAGCTTGTTCTGTTGAGGTAGGAACTTCAGTGGTAACAGTATGTTCTGATGCTGTAGTTCCAGTCTGTGTTGTGACTGTAGCCTGTGCAGTTGTGGTAAGAATGTCAGTGGTAACAGTTTGTTCTGATGCTGTAGCTCCAGTCTGTGTTGTGATTGTAGCCTGTTCTGTTGTGGTAGCAACTTCAGTAGTGAATGTTTTAGTTTCGATGGTTGTTTGACCTACTCTGGTAGTTTGTTCAGCAGTTGTGCTTTGAGCTTCAGTGGTTGTTTGATCTACTGTTGTTGATTGTTCTACAGATGTAGTGAAAGCTTCAGTGGTTGTTTGCTCTACTGTTGTAGTTTGTTCAGCAGTTGTGGTTTTAGCTTCAGTGGTTGTTTTATCTACTGTTGTTGATTGTTCTACAGGTGTAGTTAAAGCTTCAGTGTTTGTTTGACTCACTGTTGTTGTTTGTTCTACAGTTGTAGTATGAGGCTCAGTGGTTGTTTGATCTACAGTTGAAGTGTGTTCTATAGTTGTAGTTTGAGCTTCAGTGGTTGTTTGATCTACTGTTGTTGATTGTTCTACAGGTGTAGTTTTAGCTTCAGTGGTTGTTTGATCTACTGTTGTAGTTATAGGCTCGGAAGTGGTTTGATCTACTGTTGTGGTTTGTTTATCAGTTGTAGTAAGAGCCTCAGTGGTTTGACTCACTGTTGTTATTTGTTCATCAGTTGTAGTAAGAGCTTCAGTGGTTGTTTGATCTACTGTTGTCGTTTGTTCTACAGTGGTAGTATGAGGCTCAATGGTTGTTTGATCTACAGTTGTTGATTTTTCTACAGTTGTAGTGAAAGCTTCGGTGGTTGTTTGACCTACAGTTGTTGATTTTTCAGTAGTTGTAGTTGGTGCATCTGTGGTTGTTTGATCGACAGTTGAAGTTTGTACTGCAGTTGACGTAAGAGCTTCAGTGGTTATTTGATCTACTGTTGTTGTTTGTTCCTCAGTTGTAGTTTGAGCTTCAGTTGTTGTTTGATCTACTCTTGTAGTGTGTTCATCAGTAGAAGATAGAGCTTCAGTTGTTGTTTGATCTACTGTTGTTGTTCGTTCTGCAGTTGTAGTTGGAGCTTCAGTGGTTGTTTGATCGACAGTTGAAGTTTGTACTGCAGTTGAAGTAAGAGCTTTAGTGGTTGTTTGACTGAATGTTGTTGTTTGTTCTGCAGTTGTAGTAAGAAGATCGGTGGATATTTGTTCTGCAGTTGTAGTTTGTCCTGCAGTCGTAGTAAGAGCTTCAGTGGTTGTTTGATCCTCAGTTGTAGCTTGTTCTGCAGTTGTAGTAAGAGCTTCAGTGGTTGTTTTTTTTTCTACTGTTGTTGTTTGTTCACCAGTTGTAGTTGGAGCTTCAGTGGTTGTCTGATCTACAGTTGTAGATTGTTCTACAGTTGTAGTTAAAGCTTCAGTGGTTGTTTGATCTATAGTTGAAGTGTGTTCTATAGTTGTAGTTTGAGCTTCAGTGGTTGTTTGATCTACTGTTGTTGATTGTTCTACAGGTGTAGTTTGAGCTTCAGTGGTTGTTTGATCTACTGTTGTAGTTATAGGCTTGGAAGTGGTTTGATCTACTGTTGTGGTTTGTTTATCAGTTGTAGTAAGATGCTCGGTGGTTTGACTCACTGTTGTTGTTTGTTCATCAGTTGAAGTAAGAGCTTCAGTGGTTATTTGATCTACTGTTGTAGTTTGTTCTACAGTGGTAGTATGAGGCTCAATGGTTGTTTGATCTACAGTTGTTGATTGTTCTACAGTTGTAGTGAAAGCTTCGGTGGTTGTTTGATCTACAGTTGATGATTTTTCAGTAGTTGTAGTTGGTGCATCTGTGGTTGTTTGATCGACAGTTGAAGTTTGTACTGCAGTTGAAGTAAGAGCTTCAGTGGTTATTTGATCTCTTGTTGTTGTTTGTTCCTCAGTTGTAGTTTGAGCTTCAGTTGTTGTTTGATCTACTCTAGTAGTGTGTTCATCAGTAGAAGATAGAGCTTCAGTTGTTGTTTGATCTACTGTTGTTGTTCGTTCTGCAGTTGTAGTTGGAGCTTCAGTGGTTGTCTGATCTACAGTTGTTGATTGTTCTACAGTTGTAGTGAAAGCTTCGGTGGTTGTTTGATCTACAGTTGTTGATTTTTCAGTAGTTGTAGTTGGTGCATCTGTGGTTGTTTGATCGACAGTTGAAGTTTGTACTGCAGTTGACGTAAGAGCTTCAGTGGTTATTTGATCTACTGTTGTTGTTTGTTCCTCAGTTGTAGTTTGAGCTTCAGTTGTTGTTTGATCTACTCTTGTAGTGTGTTCATCAGTAGAAGATAGAGCTTCAGTTGTTGTTTGATCTACTGTTGTTGTTCGTTCTGCAGTTGTAGTTGGAGCTTCAGTGGTTGTTTGATCGACAGTTGAAGTTTGTACTGCAGTTGAAGTAAGAGCTTTAGTGGTTGTTTGACTGAATGTTGTTGTTTGTTCTGCAGTTGTAGTAAGAAGATCGGTGGATATTTGTTCTGCAGTTGTAGTTTGTCCTGCAGTCGTAGTAAGAGCTTCAGTGGTTGTTTGATCCTCAGTTGTAGCTTGTTCTGCAGTTGTAGTAAGAGCTTCAGTGGTTGTTTTTTTTTCTACTGTTGTTGTTTGTTCACCAGTTGTAGTTGGAGCTTCAGTGGTTGTCTGATCTACAGTTGTAGATTGTTCTACAGTTGTAGTTAAAGCTTCAGTGGTTGTTTGATCTATAGTTGAAGTGTGTTCTATAGTTGTAGTTTGAGCTTCAGTGGTTGTTTGATCTACTGTTGTTGATTGTTCTACAGGTGTAGTTTGAGCTTCAGTGGTTGTTTGATCTACTGTTGTAGTTATAGGCTTGGAAGTGGTTTGATCTACTGTTGTGGTTTGTTTATCAGTTGTAGTAAGATGCTCGGTGGTTTGACTCACTGTTGTTGTTTGTTCATCAGTTGAAGTAAGAGCTTCAGTGGTTATTTGATCTACTGTTGTAGTTTGTTCTACAGTGGTAGTATGAGGCTCAATGGTTGTTTGATCTACAGTTGTTGATTGTTCTACAGTTGTAGTGAAAGCTTCGGTGGTTGTTTGATCTACAGTTGTTGATTTTTCAGTAGTTGTAGTTGGTGCATCTGTGGTTGTTTGATCGACAGTTGAAGTTTGTACTGCAGTTGAAGTTAGAGCTTCAGTGGTTATTTGATCTGTTGTTGTTGTTTGTTCCTCAGTTGTAGTTTGAGCTTCAGTTGTTGTTTGATCTACTCTTGTAGTGTGTTCATCAGTAGAAGATAGAGCTTTAGTTGTTGTTTGATCTACTGTTGTTGTTCGTTCTGCAGTTGTAGTTGGAGCTTCAGTGGTTGTCTGATCTACAGTTGTTGATTGTTCTACAGTTGTAGTGAAAGCTTCGGTGGTTGTTTGATCTACAGTTGTTGATTTTTCAGTAGTTGTAGTTGGTGCATCTGTGGTTGTTTGATCGACAGTTGAAGTTTGTACTGCAGTTGAAGTAAGAGCTTCAGTGGTTATTTGATCTTCTGTTGTTGTTTGTTCCTCAGTTGTAGTTTGAGCTTCAGTTGTTGTTTGATCTACTCTTGTAGTGTGTTCATCAGTAGAAGATAGAGCTTCAGTGGTTGTTTGATCGACAGTTGAAGTTTGTACTGCAGTTGAAGTAAGAGCTTTAGTGGTTGTTTGACTGAATGTTGTTGTTTGTTCTGCAGTTGTAGTAAGAGGATCGGTGGATATTTGATCTGCAGTTGTAATTTGTTCTGCAGTTGTAGTTTGTCCTGCAGTCGTAGTAAGAGCTTCAGTGGTTGTTTGATCCTCAGTTGTAGCTTGTTCTGCAGTTGTAGTAAGAGCTTCAGTGGTTGTTTGATCTACTGTTGTTGTTTGTTCACCAGTTGTAGTTGGAGCTTCAGTGGTTGTCTGATCTACAGTTGTAGATTGTTCTACAGTTGTAGTTAAAGCTTCAGTGGTTGTTTGATCTACTGTTGTTTGTTCTGCAATTGAAGTTGGGGCTTCAGTAGTTGTTTGATCTATTGTTGTTTGTTCATCAGTTGTAGTTGGAGCTTCAGTGGTTGTTTGATCTATCGTTGTTGTTTGTTCTGAAGTTGAAGTAAGAGCTTCAGTGGTTGTTTGATCTATCGTTGTTGTTTGTTCTGAAGTTGAAGTAAGAGCTCTAGTGGTTGTTTGATCTACTGTTGTTGTTTGTTTTGCAGTTGTAGTTGGAGCTTCAGTGGTTGTTTGGTCTATAGTTGAAGTTTGTTCGGCAACTGAAGTAACAGTTTCAGTGGTTTTTTGATCAATTGTTGTTTTTTCAGTAGTTGTAGTTAGAGCTTCAGTGGTTGTTTGATCTACTGTTGATGTTTGGTCTTCGGTTGTAATTACAGGCTCGGTAGTTGGAGCTGCAGTGGTTGTTTGATCAACAGTTGAAGTTTGTAATGCTGTTGAAGTAAGAGCTTCAGTGGATATTTGATCTGCAGTTGTAGTTTGTTCTGCAGTTGAAGTTTGTTCTGCAGTTGTAGTATGAGCTTCAGTGGTTGTTTGACTCGCTGATGTTGTTTGTCCTACAGTTGTAGTTAGAGGCTCAGTGGTTGTCTGTTCTACAGAAATAATTTGTTCTACAGTTGTAGTAAGAGCTTCAGTGGTTGTTCGATCTACTGTTGTTGTTGTTTGTTCTGAAGTTGAAGTTGGAGCTTCAGTGGTTGTTTGATCTACTGTTGTTGTGTGTTCATCAGTTGTAGTTTGACCTTCAGTGGTTGTTTGATCTACTGTAGTTGTTTGTTCATTAGTTGTAGTTGGAGCTTCAGTGGTTGTCTGATCTACAGTGGTAGTTGGAGCTCCAGTGGTTGTTTGATCTGCTGTTGTTGTTTGTTCTGCAGTTGTAGTTGGAGCTTCAGTGGTTGTTTGATCTACTGTTGTTGTTTGTTCTGAAGTTGAAGTTAGAGCTTCAGTAGTTGTTTGATCTACTGTTGTTGTTTGTTCATCAGTTGTAGTTGGAGCTTCAGTAGTTGTTTGATCTACTGTTGTTGTTCGTTCATCAGTTGTAGTTGGAGCTTCAGTTGTTGTTTGATCTTCTGTTGTTGTCTGTTCATTAGTTATAGTTGGAGCTTCAGTGGTTGTCAGATCTACAGTTGTAGTTTGAGCTTCAGTGGTTGTTTGATCTGCTGTTGTTGTCTGTTCTGCAGTTGTAGTTGGAGCTTCAGTGGTTGTTTGATCTACTGTTGTTGTTTGTTCTGAAGTTGAAGTTAGACCTTCAGTGGTTGTTTGATCTACTGTTGTTGTTTGTTCTGAAGTTGAAGTAAGAGCTTCAGTAGTTGTTTGATCTACTGTTGTTGTTTGTTCATCAGTTGTAGTTGGAGCTTCAGTTGTTGTTTGATCTTCTGTTGTTGTTTTTATTGCAGTTGTTGTTGGAGCTTCAGTGGTTGTTTGGTCTATAGTTGAAGTAACAGTTTCAGTGGTTTTTTGATCAACTGTTGTTGTTTGTTCAGCAGTTGTAGTTTGTTCTGCAGTTGTAGTAAGAGCTTCAGTGATTGTTTGACTCGCTGTTGTCATTTGTCCTACAGTTGTAGTTGAAAGCTTAGTGGTTGTCTGATCTACAGTTGTAGATTGTTCTTCAGTTGTAGTTGGAGCTTCAGTTGTTGTTCGATCTACTGTTGTTGTTTGTCTTGCAGTTGTAGTTGGAGCTTCGGTGGTTGTTTGGTCTATAGTCGAAGTAAGAGCTTCAGTGGTTGTTTGATCTACTGTTGTTGTTTGTTCTGCAGTTGTTGTTTGTTCTGCAGTTGTAGTTGGAGCTTCGCTTGTTGTATGATCGACAGTTGAAGTTTGTTCTGCAGTTGTAGTTAGAGCTTCAGTGGTTGTTTGGTCTACAGTTGAAGTTTGTTTTGAAGTTGATGTAAGAGCTTCAGGAGTTGTTTGATCTACAGTTGTAGTCTGTACTGCAGTTGTAATTAAAGACTCAGTGGTTGTCTGATCTGCAGTTGTAGTTTGTTTTACAGTTGTAGTTGGAGCTTCCGTGGTTGTTTGATCTACTGTTGTTGTTTGTTCTGAAGTTGAAGTAAGAACTTCAATGGTTGTTTGATCAACAGTTGTAGTTTGTACTGCAGTTGTAGTTTGTTCTGCAGTTGAAATAAGAGCTTCAGTGGTTGTTTGACTGATTGTTGTTGTTTGTTCTGCAGTTGTAGTAAGAGGCTCAGTGGATATTTGATCTACAGTTGTAGTTTGTTCTGCAGTTGTTGTTTGTTCATCACTTGTAGTTGGAGCTTCAGTGGTTGTTTGATCTACTGTAGTTGTTTGTTCAACAGTTGTAGTAAGAGGCTCAGTGGTTGTCTGATCTACAGTTGTAGTTTGTTCTTCAGTTGTAGTTGGAGCTTCAGTGGTTGTTCGATCTACTGTTGTTGTTTGTTCTGAAGTTGAAGTAAGAGCTTCAGTGGTTGTTTGATCTACTGTTGTTGTTTGTTCTGCAGTTGTAGTTTGTTCTGCAGTTGTAGTCAGTGCTTTGCTGGTTGTTTGATCGACAGTTGAAGTTTGATCTGCAGTTGTAGTTGGAGCTTCCGTGGTTGTTTGATCTACTGTTGTTGTTTCTTTTGAAGTTGAAGTAAGAGCTTCAATGGTTGTTTGATCTACAGTTGAAGTTTGATCAGCAGTTGAAGAAAGAGTTATAGTGGTTGATTGACTAGCTGTTGTTGTTTGTTCAGCAGTTGTTGTTAGAGCTTCAGTGGTTGTTTGGTCTACTGTTGATGTTTGTTCTTCCGTTGTAGTTAGAGGCTCGGTAGTGGTTTGAATTACTGTTGTAGTCTGTTCTGCAGTTGTAGTTAAAGTCTCAGTGGTTGTCTGATCTGCAGTTGTAGTTTGTTTTACAGTTGTAGTTGGAGCTTCCGTGGTTGTTTGATCTACTGTTGTTGTTTCTTTTGAAGTTGAAGTAAGAACTTCAATGGTTGTTTGATCTACAGTTGAAGTTTGATCAGCAGTTGAAGAAAGAGTTACAGTGGTTGTTTGACTAGCTGTTGTTGTTTGTTCAGCAGTTGTTGTTAGAGCTTCAGTGGTTGTTTGGTCTACTGTTGATGTTTGTTCTTCGGTTGTAGTTAGAGGCTCGGTAGTGGTTTGAATTACTGTTGTTGTTTGTGCTACAGTTGTAGTTAGAGGCTGAGTGGTTGTTTTGTCTACAGTAGTTTGATCTACAGTTGTTTGATCAACAGTTGTAGTTTGTACTGCAGTTGTAGTTTGTTCTGCAGTTGAAGTAAGAGCTTCAGTGGTTGTTTGACTGACTGTTGTTGTTTGTTCTGCAGTTGTAGTAAGAGGCTCAGTGGATATTTGATCTACAGTTGTAGTTTGTTCTGCAGTTGTTGTTTGTTCATCACTTGTAGTTGGAGCTTCAGTGGTTGTTTGATCTACTGTAGTTGTTTGTTCAACAGTTGTAGTAAGAGGCTCAGTGGTTGTCTGATCTACAGTTGTAGTTTGTTCTACAGTTGTAGTTGGAGCTTCAGTGGTTGTTCGATCTACTGTTGTTGTTTGTTCTGAAGTTGAAGTTAGAGCTTCAGTGGTTGTTTGATCTACTGTTGTTGTTTGTTCTGCAGTTGTAGTTTGTTCTGCAGTTGTAGTTGGTGCTTCGCTGGTTGTTTGATCGACAGTTGAAGTTTGATCTGCAGTTGTAGTTGGAGCTTCCGTGGTTGTTTGATCTACTGTTGTTGTTTCTTTTGAAGTTGAAGTAAGAGCTTCAATGGTTGTTTGATCTACAGTTGAAGTTTGATCAGCAGTTGAAGAAAGAGTTATAGTGGTTGATTGACTAGCTGTTGTTGTTTGTTCTGAAGTTGAAGTTAGAGCTTCAGTAGTTGTTTGATCTACTGTTGTTGTTTGTTCATCAGTTGTAGTTGGAGCTTCAGTAGTTGTTTGATCTACTGTTGTTGTTCGTTCATCAGTTGTAGTTGGAGCTTCAGTTGTTGTTTGATCTTCTGTTGTTGTTTGTTCATTAGTTATAGTTGGAGCTTCAGTGGTTGTTTGGTCTACTGTTGATGTTTGTTCTTCGGTTGTAGTTAGAGGCTCGGTAGTGGTTTGAATTACTGTTGTTGTTTGTGCTACAGTTGTAGTTAGAGGCTGAGTGGTTGTTTTGTCTACAGTAGTTTGATCTACAGTTGTTTGATCAACAGTTGTAGTTTGTACTGCAGTTGTAGTTTGTTCTGCAGTTGAAGTAAGAGCTTCAGTGGTTGTTTGACTGACTGTTGTTGTTTGTTCTGCAGTTGTAGTAAGAGGCTCAGTGGATATTTGATCTACAGTTGTAGTTTGTTCTGCAGTTGTTGTTTGTTCATCACTTGTAGTTGGAGCTTCAGTGGTTGTTTGATCTACTGTAGTTGTTTGTTCAACAGTTGTAGTAAGAGGCTCAGTGGTTGTCTGATCTACAGTTGTAGTTTGTTCTACAGTTGTAGTTGGAGCTTCAGTGGTTGTTCGATCTACTGTTGTTGTTTGTTCTGAAGTTGAAGTTAGAGCTTCAGTGGTTGTTTGATCTACTGTTGTTGTTTGTTCTGCAGTTGTAGTTTGTTCTGCAGTTGTAGTTGGTGCTTCGCTGGTTGTTTGATCGACAGTTGAAGTTTGATCTGCAGTTGTAGTTGGAGCTTCCGTGGTTGTTTGATCTACTGTTGTTGTTTCTTTTGAAGTTGAAGTAAGAGCTTCAATGGTTGTTTGATCTACAGTTGAAGTTTGATCAGCAGTTGAAGAAAGAGTTATAGTGGTTGTTTGACTAGCTTTTGTTGTTTGTTCAGCAGTTGTTGTTAGAGCTTCAGTGGTTGTTTGGTCTACTGTTGATGTCTGTTCTTCCGTTGTAGTTAGAGGCTCGGTAGTGGTTTGAATTACTGTTGTTGTTTGTTCTACAGTTGTAGTTAGAGGCTCAGTGGTTGTTTGGTCTACAGTTGTTTGATCTACAGTTGTTTGATCTACAGTTGTAGTTTGTTCTGCAGTTGTAGTTTGTTCTACAGTTGTAGTTGGAGCTTCAGTGGTTGTTCGATCTACTGTTGTTGTTTGTTCTGAAGTTGAACTAAGAGCTTCAGTGGTTGTTTGATCTACTGTTGTTGTTTGTTCTGCAGTTGTAGTTGGTGCTTCGCTGGTTGTTTGATCGACAGTTGAAGTTTGTTCTGCTGTTGTAGTTAGAGCTTCAGTGGTTTTTTGGTCTACAGTTTTAGTTTGTTTTGAAGTTGAGGTAAGAGCTTCAGGAGTTGTTTGATCTACAGTTGTAATCTGTTCTGCAGTTGTAGTTAAAGACTCAGTGGTTGTCTGATCTGCAGTTGTAGTTTGTTTTACAGTTGTTGTTGGAACTTCCGTGGTTGTTTGATCTACTGTTGTTGTTTCTTTTGAAGTTGAAGTAAGAGCTTCAATGGTTGTTTGATCTACAGTTGAAGTTTGATCAGCAGTTGAAGAAATAGTTTCAGTGGTTGTTTGACTAGCTGTTGTTGTTTGTTCAGCAGTTGTGGTTAGAGCTTCAGTGGTTGTTTGATCTACTGTTGATGTTTGGTCTTCGGTTGTAGTTAGAGGCTCGGTAGTGGTTTGAATTACTGTTGTTGTTTGTTCTACAGTTGTAGTTAGAGGCTCAGTGGTTGTTTGATCTACAGTTGTTTGATCTACAGTTGTAGTTTGTTCTGCAGTTGTAGTTTGTTCTGCAGTTGAAGTAAGAGCTTCAGTCGTTGTTTGACTCACTGTTGTTGTTTGTTCTGCAGTTGTAGTGAGAGGCTTAGTGGATATTTGATCTACAGTTGTAGTTTGTTCTGCAGTTGTTGTTTGTTCATCAGTTGTAGTTGGAGCTTCAGTGGTTGTTTGATCTACTGATGTTGTTTGTTCAACAGTTGTAGTAAGAGGCTCAGTGGTTGTCTGATCTATAGTTGTAGTTTGTTCTACAAGTGTAGTTGGAGCTTCAGTGGTTGTTCGATCTACTGTTGTTGTTTGTTCTGAAGTTGAAGTAAGAGCTTCAGTTGTTGTTTGATCTACTGTTGTTGTTTGTTCTGCAGTTGTTGTTGGAGCTTCAGTGGTTGTTTGATCTACTGTTGTTGTTTGTTTTGCAGTTGTAGTAAGAGCTTCAGTGGTTGTTTGATCGACTGTTGTTTGATCTACTGTTGTTGTTTGTTCTGCAGTTGAAGTTAGAGGCTCATTGGTTGTTTGATCTACAGTTGTAGTTGGTGAATCGGTTGTTGTTTGATCCAATGTTGTAGTTTGTTTTGAAGTTGTAGTTGGAGCTTCAGTGGTTGTTTGATCTACTGTTGTAGTTCGTTTTGCAGTTGTGGTTTGAGCTACAGTTGCAGTTTGCTCTACAGTTGTTGTTTGTTCTGCAGTTGTTGTTTGTTCTACAGTTGTAGTTGGTGCTTCGGTGGTTGTTTGATCTTCTGTTGTTTTTTTATCTACTGTTGTTGTTTGATCTAATGTTGTAGTTAGAGCTTCGGTGGTTGTTTGTTCTGCAGTAGTAGTTAGAGCTACAGTAGTTGTTTTACTCACTGTTGTTGTTAGTTCTACAGGTGAAGTTAAAGGCTCAGTGGTAGATTGATCTACTGTTGTAGTTGGTTCTACAGATGTTGTTTGAGCTGCAGTGATTGTTTGATCTACTGTTGTTGTTTGTTCCTCAGTTGTGGTTTGAGCTGCAGTTGTTGTTTGATCTACTGTTGTAGTTTGATCTGCAGTTGTAGTTTGAGCTTCAGTGATTGTTTGTTCTGCAGTAGTAGTTAGAGCTACAGTGGTTGTTTGATCTGATGTTGTAGTTTGTTCATCAGTTGTAGTAAGAGCTTCAGTGGTTATTTGATCTACAGTTGTTGTTTGTTCTGCAGTTGGAACTGTTGTGGTAGGATCTTCGGTTGTAACTATTGGTTCTGATGTTAACGTTGTAGGCTGTGTTGTTATGTTAACCTGTTCTATTGTGGTTGGAACGTCAGTAGTTACAGTTTGTTCTGATGCTGTAGTAGCAGTCTGCGTTGTTATGTTAACCTGTTCTATTGTGGTTGGAACGTCAGTAGTTACAGTTTGTTCTGATGCTGTAGTAGCAGTCTGCGTTGTTGTGTTAACCTGTTCAGTTGTTGTAGGAACTTCAGTGGTAACAGTTTGATCTGATGCTGTAGTATCAGTCTGCGTTGTTGTGTTAACCTGTTCAGTTGTTGTAGGAACTTTTGTGGTAACAGTTTGATCTGATGCTGTAGTATCAGTCTGTGTTGTTATGGTAACCTGTTCAGTTGTTGTAGGAACTTTTGTGGTAACAGTTTGATCTGATGCTGTAGTATCAGTCTGTGTTGTTATGGTAACCTGTTCAGTTATTGTAGGAGCTTCAGTGGTAACAGTTTGATCTGATGCTGTAGTATCAGTCTGCGTTGTTATGTTAGAAGTTGGTAAATAAGTCGTATCTATTTGTGGTGTAGTTGTAGCAGCCAAAACGAAGTCATCTTGAATGGCCGATACCAGAAATATTATGCCCCAAGTTGTTTTCATGTAAGTATTTATCTACAATAAAAAATTAAATCATTTACAACATGAAAATGAGCGTTATAATTTTTAGTACTATCAAAACTAGAATAGAACACGATGGGGTATATGTTAATGAGACAAAAGCCAAAAAAAAAACATCTTGAGGTGAAGATATTGTTTTTAACAATAGACAAGTGTATTATAAACGATATGACAAGCTATAAAAAGCATAAAGTGCTATGCTAAAATCTATAAGTTAAATTTTTAGATCAGACAGTACCTGTACAAATTTTGAAGATTTTCTCCTTTAAAACGTTTATTGCGCCTTTACTCATTGATAACATTATAAATTGACATCATTTCTGATTTTGGGTTTTTATCTATGTGTTTCAATCTATTACCCGCTGAAACAAAGGTGGCGATTTCAAAATTTTAGTTTCATTTTCCCGGGTTTTATGCGTATGTCTTTAGTCAAGGATCAGCTGTTCAGCTGCCTTTTTTCAATAACTGACTTTCTAAAACTAAACTATTTGAATTACAGAAAAAAAAACAGTCAAATATACAAGACAACCACCAATGAGATTCTTGACGTAAGACATGCAAGTTAATTTACTCCACCTATCTCTGTATCTTTATTGGTAGTATACACCAATGAGACAGCAACACACCGACAAAAATTCAAAACAACAAAAGACTAGAGGTCAACAATAGACAATTATCTATATTATATCAAGCTATAAATTGCTTTGCGTCTATGAAAATTTTAAATATATTCAGTTACGTATCAAGGAGTGCTTGTAGTTACTGAAAGTAAGGATCAGAAAACTGACTGAAACTACTGATATAAAATCCTGCCGTCCTACAATCTGGTATCAGTGGATGTACTTCGGAGTAAATTTAATACAGCAACGTCATAAGCGAGGGTCTGGATGGGAGTCCTTCTTTTCTGTATTCTTTATTTGTTTATGCCATTTTTCTCTATTCTTTATACTTTTGGCCCATTATTCTCTATTCTTTATATTAATGCACCTCAGTATTCTTTTTTTTTGGCCCATTTTTCTCTATTCTTTATATTTTTGGCTCATTATTCTATATTCAGTAAACCCCGATCCACACCCTCATAAACAGTATAGGAAGACACGATCTTAGTAATGCCAACCCTTGCGGTCATAACAATTTCGAGTACGGTCGATTATCGTACTCAGACTCAGAAGTCAACACATCAAAACACTCGATTTGGTGTTTTGAGCACAAATTTTGTACTCCGAGTACTGAGTAATTTTTTATGACCGAGAGCCCAAGAATGCAATTGTACAGAATTTCAAAGCAGAAAATATAATAAATGAAACATTTCAATCTTTTTCAAACATAACTTAATAAATTGATGAATTAGTCTTCATAATGAAATATTCAATATAATTTTTGTTTGAATATATGTTTGAATACATAAAGTAAGATTCAGGTGCTTCTCAATTTCAATCACATGTAACCCAGAATTTTAATACGACATATTTAGAAAACGTTGGATTATTATAAGATCCTTAAAATATGGTTTATAATTCTCATCATGGTGACATTATATCAACCTATACAAAAATTAATGACATTTTGAACTCGAATACAAAATTAAGTAATTTTTCACTTCATATGATATGAACTCCACCCTAAAACGTATAATGGATATTGTAGAACTTAATGGTGCATGTAACCGTAAAAGTACTCGTTGATTTCGGTTTTTATTTGAATTATTGACAATTTAAATTCCTTCATGCCACTGCTTTGGCTTTATAGTACTTGCATCAACAAGTTCTCTGGAATCTATTTATTGTGAAAATAGGATAGTCGAGATTTTTTATTCTTGGGTACTATTTTAAGAAGCATTAACTTTATTCTGATATTTGTATTTTCTATATTTTTTTAATGCTCCAGAAAACTTAATATCGAATTATTTCATGTTGACTAAATGTGAACTTTTCTTGAAGGGACGCCCAGGATACGAGGTTCCGTTCCCGTCGAAAAATTCTAGTTTGTAGCTTATCAAAGAACAAACAATGTCGTATTTATACCTGTCTTATCATCAAGACTTGTTTTTACTAATTTGAAGTTTTCATTTGTATCATTTATTCTCACTGTCAAATTGATACGACAAAATTTTACAAGAAGTCAAATGTAGATACATGTACATTTATCATGATTTAATTAATTACTATAAACTCAGGAACGAGTTATTTTATAAAGAAATCTTTAAAAAAGTAAAAGATTTTGAACTAGAAATTCTGCCATTGATAAAGGGCGTTAAGGATGTTCTGAAGACAATGTCCACATTAACCATTTTTACATTTTCAAGTTAAAATAAGACCCCTCCATTAATTTAATTAAACATTCAAAAATGCACATTGATTTATTGGTTGTTGTTTCCGTAACGCCCAGTGGCAAATATTTCATATTCAGTTTGAGAACAAATCTACAATAAATCCAATAGGTATGTTGTATAAAGTGGGTCGACCGGAATAAGCATTATAAAGGGCGGGAATTTCGACTTCCACTGGAAACGAGGGTATGATAGAGACGAGTCGGTAGAGTGGATAGATGTTGGGACTGTGTCTTGCAACAGGCCATCAACAGACCACTGAAAGAGTTGTCCGAATGTTTTTCTAACGCACAGAGAGCCTGGCACTCTCCATACACAAGGCATCGTTTATAATGTTCACATTCCGACTGGACGTGCTTGTGTACTTGTACATCCATAAAATCAATTATATATTTTTTTTCTGGAATCATTCATAAAATTTCAGATATATGAAAAACCATTCATAAATATTTGTTTGTATTTACGTACAGTGAAGACCCGAGATCGCTTATCCAAGATTCAAGTCAAATAAACATTCTGTATAAAGCATTCTTTGTATGTTTCCGATAGATTTAATTTGAAAAAGAGTCTAAATTATGAACCTTCACATACTGAATATACCCATGATTTTAGATAAAATGATGTCAGCGTGTATCCCGGTCAATACCCTTGATATCTTATTTGTTACAAGTTTTATGAAATAAAAAATAACAGTACTGCCGTTTCCTAAACATCAATTGGTCTTCAAATCACAAGCACTTGTCTCTTGTTTTTTCATCTCTCTTTATACCTTAATGTAACACTAAGATGTATAGGAAAACAAATTTCAGACAAGTGCTTGTGCTTTAAATCTTTGAAATAAGCAATAGTTAATATCTTTCATCTTAAGAGTAGCCTATATCATGATTGTTCCAAAAAATATGTGACCAGTTATTTTGAATACAAATGTTGTGCAAGCATAGTCTCTATATAATCAGTTTTAGTCTAAACATAAACTTGAAGAAATTAAATTTAAAAGCGATGTTTCCATCCAACATGGTATGCTTATTTCGTAAACAAAGGGTACACGTTTAAGATGTGTCCTTCTGGATCTTTATTATTATTTTCGGATTGCTTGATTAACGTATTGACTTAAGAACACCTCTGTCGTTGAAGCTTGAATTAAGAAAAAAGATTTTTATCAATATTTCTAATATTTTTCAACACGAAGTATATCAAAATAATTTTATTTTAATTTTTGCCCTTTTTTATGAATATTGCGCTAAAATGCATTTTTCTTACACTGCAGATTTTGCTGCTGTATGTGAGCTATTATGTAAGTTCATGGTCGGTAAGAAAAATAATTTTACTAACAACAAATTTCAAAGTACAGTAGTGTTATCTTCAGTCCCTAACTTAGAAAACATCAGTTTTATCTTGCTCTGAATTGTTATTATGCAATACCGTTGTAATACAAATAAATGTTTTGATATTTAGAACGTTCACCTAATCTGACCCAGTCAATGGGATATTTTAGCGCGCCAATCAATGGTCTCGGCTACACTGTTTTGCACATGATTCTATTTGATTTTTTTGTATTTTCTTCATAGATCGGGGCATGAAAGAAAGGCGTAAGTTTTATCTTGGTTAAGCTCGCAACAGTTATGTAATTTGTCCAAACTAGAAAACTCTTCGTGTTTTGTTTATTGAGAATTGTTTTCCATTTGGTGATCACTAGTAAATGTTTTTAAGGCTAGTCTAAATTGGCTGTTCGTCTCTGGACCAATGTTTTGTACCCTGATTGTCTGGGTGACCGTAGCCGCGGCGGTGTAGGGTCGTGCATTTTAACCTTGTAATACACTTGGTTGAAGGTCGTATAATAACCTTCACACTATAAAACTAAGGAGATGTGTTATGATTGCCAATTGCAATGACACAACTATCCACCAAAGTTCAAATGAAGTGGATGTAAGCAATTATAGGCAACCGTACGGCCTTCAACAATGAGAAATCCCCATGCAGTATAGTCGGCTATAAAAAGCCCCGACATGAAATTATGAAACAATTCAATTCAGAAAATGAACGGCCTAGTTTTTAACTAAACGATTTACGAAAAAAACAAATATGACAGACATGAACCAACAACAACCACTGAACTACATGCTCCTGACTTGGAACAGACACATACATAATGTGACAGGGTTAAACATATTTGAAGGCGCCAACCCTCCCCTAACCTGGGACAGTGGTGTAACAGTACAACATAAGAACAAACTATAAAAATCAGTTGAAAATGGCCTAACTCATCAGATCGATACAAAACAGAAGAACATCTAACTAAAACACAGACCGGACGTGATATTTATACATCTCTCACAACAAAAAAGACACAAAATACAGAACTGAGAGTCCTCGCAGTTACCGACGAGTCTATTTTAATGAAATTGTGTTGATCGGTTGTCTAAATTATATTTATAGTAAACAGCGTTAAAATTAATTTTGAAAAGGAAAAAAATAGAAAAGTAGAAAAAAATATTCTTAAACAAAATAAATAGTTACGATGAAAACAGCAAATTGTTGTCTTTACAAAAAAATGAAGTCCAGTTCGGATAGAAAATCATATTTGTATTCTTGTTTTCTATAAGAAAATGCTCCTCTGAGCTTAAAGTTAGTATAAAAATCTGAAAATAGTGAAGGGTCGATTTTATCAAATTCCTAGAAACGATTTATCATATTGTCATTTGCTGGAGGACGAAAAGCACTACCTCCTTGACTGTAAAACTATGAAATACCTTTAAGAAAATTAATATACTTCGTCTTCATACTATTCACTGTATTTTTCTCCAAGAAGAAATATTTAATCTTGCTACTGGCTCCTTTATAAAACAGTCATTAGAACTGAGGACAGAAGTCTCTAAATTTTTCATTTATTCATTCTATATCAATCGAAATTGGCCATTTCTTTGTTTTAGCTTATTGTTTGTCCCCAACACCTATATGACTGTAAGGCAATTAAGTATTATTATTTATAATAATAGTATTCATCACAATTCTACTTTTATTCAAAGGTATATTCATTTGTCATTTGGCGAGATGGCTAAATAATTCGAGATATTTGTAAGGACGTGTTTCTAAAGGTGTGGAGTCAACAGCCGAACATTTTTTTGGTCGTAAACCAAACCTTAGTTTGACAAATCCTCCATAAAGTAAATAAGTTGTAATGAATTGATTTTAAGTGCATATTAGGTAATAAAATGATACACGCAACAAAAAACTATTTGCCTTAAAATTGTTAGAATAAGTTATTTAAATAAGTTTGAATTGTTAAAGAATATATAAATCGTGGGATTACTTTACAAATGTTTTCTTTTTTATTGGTGTCTATGTAAAGCTTAAAATGCTTTTAACTTTGTCATTCAAAAACACTTAGAAAGACATATATTCAAGGCTGTAAGAGCTCAGTAAAATTCTCATGAAATACATAACTAATCTTTCCATTTCTCGGATCAAACTTATTATAGTCCCTTTATAATCTGCCACTTACAAAAGTATTTAAACACATACAGTTAACATGGGAATGGAACGAAACATCACAAAATTACATCATATATACCATAAGTGGTTGTGCACCTCTTCTTTAATTGGTGTATCGAATTATTATTATTACTATTTATTTAGAATGATTCTCGGGTTTTCAATGGTAAAAAAGGGACTTTACTACTAAATATGATATTGGGAAATTTTCTACAGTTCACATTGGAGTCGAACCAAACAAGAATTACGACGTACCGCTTGCAATTGGGAACGATTTTGTGGGTTCAACGAACAAAATGTAGAAATTTGTTCAATCAAAATCTATAGTTTTTTTCTTAAGATGGAACTAGTATCGAAAGAATTACCTATACTGCATTTAGTTGCGCACTTGTTTTCCTTTTTATATCCGATTGATTTATAGGGGTGGCTTAAAACAAAAATGAAACACTTCATATCTTTATAGGAAAGTTTGTCACTGCAAAATCCTTTCGATTTTACATTGGAATTCAACGACTTTTGAGATAATTGTCATTATTTTCTTGCATTTTAAGATGAACTTTTATTTAAAAGTATGTTTCCTTTATCCCTATTAATTCAGGAGGCACACACATGTGTCTGTGTCATATCTTTATAGAAAGAACACTTCATTTTATATCATTTTTTTGTGAAAGCAACCGTTTTAATTGATACCTAGTGATGTAATTAAATTGATAGTCTTTGTAACATTTTCTGTTTCATATTTATATGCACACATTTTTATTTTCGTTTTTTAAAAGCATAAACACGAATACAAATGTAGATAAAATGAAATCCTAGACACATGTAAAATTGCAGATACTCTTGAAGTCTTGTCAAAATTTAACAGGAATTGTGCCAGCTTGCGCGTTTATACATTGTTTTTTAACTAAAGGCTTAATTATAGGTACAAATTAACTACAAAGTTAAAAGTCCAAAATCAATGACATCTTCTTATTACTTTTATAAAATATTGATTCCAGGAATCAAGGATTTGTATAGTGACTATACAAATCCTTGCAGAAATCTTACATTATTGAACAGACAGGACAATTACAATCTCCATTTTTGTCATATTGTTTATTGCCTATAGTTGAAAATCGTGTTTAGTGTCTAAAACCAATGAGGTAAACTTTTTAAATAGTTCGCACAGTGATCTCTGATAGCTTTAGGTCGCTCATTGTCGGGTTGCTGCACCTCACTGACTTTTCAATCTCTCTATGAATTGTCATTATAGAATGAATACTAGTTATTATCGGATGATGACTTAAGCACCCGAATGATTTTATAATGATCACCTTAACACTTAACTAATCATTTTCAAAGATTCCTTATATTTTGATTTCAAATGTTACGCCATAGAAAGCCTTTTAACATGTTACGTTGTATATGTAATCATTTCAGTCATCAAGCATATTTGCATCAGTAACTGGCCAGTTACCCGTTCGATGTGATATGATTCCTCAATGTAATCGCACAAAAATATGAAGAGTTTTCAAATACAGTTCAATCTATAACAAGTCAGACATTAAAATTAATGATATTCTACAAGTATTAACAAACAAAATAATTAATATCATATTCATATTTTACGAGGACCGAAAACGATGAATTCGTCTGGGTGATGTCAAGTAGTGCATGCATTGAACGAAAAAACCGGTGCTGGTACGTACAAAAGTTTTGGCCTGCTTCCGTTCATTTCAAAGTTACACCTATCTTCAGAACACGACATTACTGATGGTATATATAATAGGTCTCAGAGGTGGATTAATGGGGAGAGGGGCGCTCCCCGTTATGAAGTTACATGCACGGCTAATGCATGAGACTTTGTCTTAACAAATATATAGATATATCTAAACATGAATAAAAGTAGATGCGGGTATGAACTATTCAGACAGCAACCGGAAGACATACTATTGACCAAAAGACATCTAGAGGTCAACATACAGACTTCAGCAATAAATAGGTTTCTATACAATATGTCAAGCTCCAAAAAATCCAAAGTTTTCATTTTCTAAGCACATTTCTTATGAATATATTCTTTCAATTCCAAGAGGAATCGTTATGGTAATCAATATTTAAATAAAATCCAGTACCACTAATTAGGTTCATGCAAGTTTCAATGAATTTTTAATTGCAAGTAGAATGTTAACTTGATTAATCTTATTTTCACTTTATAAGAACAGTTATCAATCGATTCTATAATGTGATAAGAGTATCAAGGGAGATAGGGTTGGTTGTCAATATCCTGATCCCTGATCAAGCATTTTCTCCATCAGTAAAAAAATGTTCTTTTTTGTTTGTTTGCTCATTGAATAAACCAAACATGTCCACATCTGTGTTTTTGATATCCCTTTTTCAAAAAATAATTTCATAGCTTCTGTCCTTAAAAATGCTTTTATACCAGTATGTGCTGACGATACAATTCAAAATGCACACAGACGGTAATAAAAATAAAGAAGCACGGGATAAAAAAGTGTTCAACGAAAAATTGATATTATTTGCGTATTGCTTATTGGACTAAATTCTCAAAGTGCAGCCAGAGGCAAAAAATTGTAAATATAATAGGACAAAGTAATACATGAAAATTTAAAATAAGTAAGATCAGCATCAAAGTAGTTCGTGATGTTAAATGTAAAACTGCAAAAATACGTTTGTTATTAAAAAGTAATGTTAATGTTGATTTATGGAGCAATATACCGAATTAATTTTCAACACATTAATAAGATTCCACCATAACTTTTTAAATAGAGACTCACCATTCTATGGTCATTGGTAATTGGTTTCCGAAAAGTTTGTAAGAAATTTCCTAAAGTTACACTACTAAGTACGAAAAATAAAGAATGAATGAAAATTAATTTGGTTTGTGGACCCCATGATATAAACAAGTTATGTTATTGAGTGATGGGAGGGGATTCATCTATTTTGCTGTTTATAGTTACACTTTTATAGTGTCTATTTTAGACGTTTATTGAACTGTGGCTTTTACGTATTTTGCATATTGAAAGCTTGTGCCGACACCCAATAATATTACCGCAACAACAATATTAGTGACTTAATTCCGATATGTTCAAGTTTTTTAATATCGCTATGGTTAGAGAATTGATCCGGAAAGTATTTGTATTGTGATTGGATAAATCGCGTTTATGCATAATCATTTTAAAAATGTGTGAGTTTGAAAGAAAGTTTAATCATTATCTTTAATGTTCCCACACAAGAACGTGAAAGTTCTTCTAGTATTTATATTAAGTTGTATACTTCACATCGCAGAGTTTAAACAAAATTATAATAAGTAATAATAATGTACATGTTATATTGAACGTCTTTCACGCTATTTAAGATTTAACCAGACCCAGGAACATATATATTGTTCCCAGCTAGACCTAAATGTACGTTTTGAGACTGTATTTTTATTCAAAGTATTGTATTTTCAAATGATGGATTTCTTTCTGGAATTATCATTTTAAATCAGTTGTACCTTTTACAGTTAGTAAATAACTAAAGGGTTTATATTCAACGTTAAATGTTATATTTTACTTCAGCTACAGTGATTTTACGATGCCTCCCTGTTTTTTTTTTAAACGTCAGTTGTGAAAACTTGGGCCTTTTGAGTACAAGCTAGGATAAAAATCCACGTTGCAAGAGACCACTTGAAACTTACAGGCAAATTGTTTATACCTTCAAATGTAAAGTATTAATTAATGAAATAGGACATGGTGTACAATATTGGGAATGCATTACATTTGCGAATGTTTCAATTACAAGCGAAATCTTTTAAAACTCATTTGCGATCATTTCATAATACCACGGAATTAAATAAAATACTGAGCATGTACATATGTTGTATTTATTATCTTAAATGAATACAAAACAATTGGGTTGTTTGATATTTCTTTCTTTCTGGTGCAATAAGATCTTAACATATGTATATCCTTGTTGATTCTGTTGTTCTACCTGGAGGACATCACAGCAAATGTAACACTTGTCTGTGAAAAAAATTTCATTTATGCCTTAATATAACGCGTAACCAACTTTTTGCCATTTCGCTATGAGAAGACGAATTAATCTACGGTTGACCTATTTGGAAGGCCTACCACGAAGAATTCCGACACCAGAAATAAGCGTGTCATACGTCATTTTTCGATAATTCGAAGTAGAATTACGACATAACAAGTTTCAGTGGGATAGACAACCGTCAGTGGAATCGAAATATAACGTAAGTTCGCGACCGAGTGTCATTTCTCACAAATGCTATTGAGTACCTTGTGTTATATTAAGGTATATAAGAAAGAAAAAAATCAGAGATAAGGGCCTGTGGAATGGAACAATAACTTGTGCGTTTCCGTCGTGTGTATTTTTGAGGTACCCGGGAAATCAAGTGTAAAGTAAAAAGTTTAAGCAATCAATGTACGCTTGTCTGATTGTCCACGTGTGTCAATTAATGTGCATTAACTACTGTTAATTCCTCAAATTAAATTGATTGTTGCTTGCTTTTACGACTAAACGTTTTATCTATCTCAGGCACGGAACACACATTTTTGGGGAAGGAGCATCATTTGTTCTCTTTAAATAAATTGTTTGATTCTTAATTTTTTAAAATAAAGTATAATTTGTTAATTGAAAACAAACAGCATTTATTAAAATTTTCGACTAAAGTTGAAAAAAATGCTTATCTAAAAAAAAGACCCCCCCCCCCCCCCCCCGTAGTAAACTTTAAGTTTGACACTTTTCTAAATTTACGCCTATATTAATAAAGAAACAAATTAGGATGTTTGATATTTTTATGTCTAAAAATTATTATACGTCCATGGTTCACATTTCATCAAATTATTACAAGCATTAAAACAGAAAATTATAAGAACGTTCCCATATTTTTTTCGTGAATGACATTACGTTTTTCTTCAGTATTTCAGGTAATAGTCAGTGAGTGACCAATAAGATAGAGACAATGTAAACAATTATAAAATAAGAACATTATTACATACAAGAAACACAAATGGATATATTTGTTTTCCATTTTAAGGAGTAATACAGTGGTTCTTTTTTTAATTTGAAGCTTTTATACAGTTCATTTTAAGAAGTTTTAAAGTGCTTTTATACAGTTCGTCAAAAATAAGTATTTATTAAATCTATGTTACGTTTCGTTATGGGTGTGTACGATTTATTTTCACAAAACTATATGATCAATATACGTGATATTTCAAATTTTCTTAAGATTTTTCAGAATGCATTAACATATATTAAATATTATGAAATTGAAATCAGCAAGGTGCAGGACGTACGGTAGTACGCCCCTATCACACGAGTTCATTGATCGACGATATTCATTCATAAAACTTATATATGATTGATTTATTTTTATTGAATGGTGGCTTTCATCTATGACTCTTTTAATAAGGCACCTTGCTAACAAAGCGTTTGTAAAATTTTAAAGGTAAATGCTCTGATACACGATAACTTTTTAAAAACTAGTATCAGTCTTGAATAAAAGCTTACGTGTTGTACGACTCTATGTACCGTAATAAGCAGTTGTAATATTTATATCTGTAAACAATCTTATAAGTTGTTGCGATACTTCTATCCGAGTAAACAATAACCAGATGTTTCTAGGAGTATCTTCATTCGTCTGTTTATATGTGTACTCATATCAGTTACTAGGTTAAATCAGGCTTGTCATTTTACAAATGAGTAATATTTATACTGGATGGACCTTTCACACATTTATCTTAGAAGGACTGGCTCAGACCGGAGAGATGTCAGAGATGATGTCAGAGATGATAACGTAACTTTCTATAGTTTCTAACGTAGACGATACATTACCATAAAATGAGATTTTTTTGCAAAGAGTTCAAATCATCAAGTTTATGACGTTTGACAAGATTGTGTAATTTAAATCAAATTTGAAAAAAAAAGAGTTTAAAATGTCTCGATTGCTTTACGATGGAGTTTTATGTTACGGTCTTTAAAGAAAGGTATACGTAATTGGGCGTATTTCAGATTTTTATGAACTTTTATTTAAATGTTATTGTTGTGAACATCATGTTTCGGAAATTCCGTTTTTTTCAAATGATATGAAAATACTCGGTGTCTTCGTTTTCGTTGTTGCTGTCAAAATCATGTAAGTTTCAGCGATGTCTAAAAAAAAACATGAAAAATTACAATTTGTCAGACGGTGACCTCGTTACACTGATTTTGTCATTTTGCTGGTATCAAATGAAAAAAAAACAATCCAGTGATCCTCTGATATTTTCTTGTCATTCAAACAGAAATGTTTACAGCAATAACATATATAATTTTCATGTAAAATTCTGTAAACGGATTTTCGATAAATCGATATTTTTAGTGACAAAACTGTTTTCCTGCTTGTTACGCACATTCTATACAATTTTAGACCTAGTTCATAAACTTTGTAGTTGATAGTATCGCTGGAAGTTTAAATGCCTCATACATTATTGTTTTTATTCAGATGGGTGCAGTGCAACGAAATCCAAATACATATAAATTTTGAAAAAAAACCGGAAATTTCGCCTACTTACGTATACAAATAACAAATAAACTTTACATTATCAATGATCCATGAAGAGGAGGTCAAGTTCAAATAAACCCTGTCAGACGGACATGTAGAGCTTAAAATTAGTATCGTCAAACAGTTGACCAAATGGGAAGCCTGTCAGATAGGAATCACATATGTACCCCTCAGAACCAATATATATACCATATTTAGTTGACCTTTTTAATACTTAGGGAGCTACCATTTTATTTTTATGGGGGGGGGGGGGGGGGGGGGAGGAGTTAGGATGAAATTTGAAAAAATAGGCAGGACAGGAGTTTTGAGTAAAAAAATAGGCAGGATGAGATTATTTGCAAAAAAAAAAAGGCAGGATGACAATTTATGTAAAAAATAAGTCAAGATAAACTAAAAAAAGGCAGGACCGAATAGAGTGAAAAATAAAAAGGCAGGACCGAATAGAGGGAAAAATAAAAAGGCAGGACAAAATTTTTCATCCTAGCCCCCCCCCCCCCCCCCCCCCATAAAAATCAAATGGTAGCTCCCTTATAGAAGTTGAGAAACAAACCTAATCATAAAAACTGCCGACAATGAGGTCAAGGTCAGGAAAACCACATCAGACAGACATGTTCACCTGACTATCATTCTATATGCCAAATATAGTTTACCTATTGCTACTGTATCTGAAAAACGGACATAATCACGAAAATCTCAACGTTGATGTACAAGAGTGCACATGCTGAAAAAATTAGCGAAAGATACCATAGGGAAATTCAAACTCATAAGTCAAAATATACCGACAGGTCACATTTGAGGAAAAGTGGACATGATTGTTGTTCCAACAATTGGAACACACCGTTGTCATCTGTGAAACGGATATTCCATAAAGGTCAACCAACTCGTGATGACGTCCATAAAATTTACGAAGTGACGATTTCAACTTCACCACTTTGAACTCTGAAATGTCTCACCTGCTTTACTGACCACGATTGATTTAATGTTGAAAATTTTACAGATAAAGTTTTAACTACAAGTATCATAGAAACTTAACATTATCAATGATCCATGACAATAAGGTCAAGGTCAGATAAACCCTTCAATTCATTATAGAATCTGAGAAACAGACCTTATCATGAAAACGGACAAATTGACAATAACAATGAGGTCGAGGTCAGAAGATGCATGCCAGACAGACGTGTACACCCTACAATCATTCCATGCACCAAATGTTGTTAATATATTGATTTTAGTATGTAAGACAGACTTATATAGGAAAACTTTACAGACAATTGAACCATGAAAATGAGGTCAAGGTCAGATGAAACATGCGAGAAAAATGTGTACACCTTACAATCATTCCATGCACCAAATATAGTTGACCTATCGCTTATGGTATCTAACAAACAGATTTAACCCGAAAAACTAAACATTGACCAATGAACCATGAAAATAAGGTCAAGATCATATAAATCCTGCAAGACAGACATGTCCACCTTACAATCATTCCATAACCAAATATAGTTGATCTATTTCTTATAGTATCTGAGAAGAGAAACTTAACATTGACCAATGAACCATGAAAATGAGGTCAAGGTCAGATGAAACATGCCAGAAAAATGTGTACACCTTACAACCATTCTATGCACTAAATATAGTTGACCTATCGCTTATGGTATCTAACAAACAGATTTAACCCGAAAAACTAAACATTGACCAATGAGCCATGAAAATAAGGTCAAGATCATATGAATCCTTCCAGACAGACATGTCCACCTTACAATCATTCCATAACCAAATATAGTTGATCTATTTCTTATAGTATCTGAGAAGAGAAACTTAACATTGACCAATGAACCATGAAAATGAGGTCAAGGTCAGATGAAACATGCCAGAAAAATGTGTACACCTCACAATCATTCCATGCACCAAATATAGTTGACCTATCGCTTATGGTATCTAACAAACAGATTTAACCCGAAAAAACCTAAACATTGACCAATGAACCACGAAAATAAGGTCAAGATCATATGAATCCTGCCAGACAGACATGTCCATCTTACAATCATTTCATAACCAAAGATAGTTAATCTATTTCTTATAGTTTTTGAGAAAAGAAACTTAACATTGGCCAATGAACCATGAAAATGAGGTCAAGGACAGATGATACCTACCAGAAAGAAAACTTTTCGAAAATAAGAATTTAAGCCAAATTGATTGTGATATTAAAGTGATGTCATAAGTGGAGTTTTTTTCAGATTTTTTTTGGGGGGAAAAGTAGGCTTATTTTAAGAACTTTTTTTTTCAAAATTAACATAAGAACACACATGTCCTTCAAATAATTGTATGTCAGTGAATAGATAAACACAAAATACTCTAACTGTTGAAATATCTTATGGGTGACCATTTTGTTCTTTATAAACTCTAAGCATGTACATATTATATGGTTGATATTTTGCATAATTTCATCATTTTAGTCAATTTACAGTCGTATAATGGCTGTTTAACTCATGAAAAGATCGTTTTTTAGCCAAAGTTAAAATGTTTTATTAAAATTCGTAGATTCAACATTCAGTTCTTAAATATCTCCAATTTGGGCTCAAATCTTGCCTTTTCCTTTGTCATTACCGTCTTGAAAATAATTGAAATCCAGGTTCTCAAGGATGACTGAGGTATAGATAAGAAGCATTTCACCTGGACTTTTCTTGTCTGCTAGTATGAATAAGAATATGATCGAATCTCCATTTTGAATATCCAAATCAATTGAAAAAAACCAAAAGTGATCACATGACCTTAAAAGGAGAGGGATCTGGTGAGCTGACACGGTTAGTCTCCTTTTATACATGCATCACCTGCCATGCAAATCCAAACACAGTCCAAATGTCAAGATATGCAATGGGACAAAATCAGTTCATTAAAAGATCAGACAAATATTCTGGTTACTAAGATCTATGGTTATGCATTATGTATTATAATACTCCTCCAATGTATGTCTAATTGGGAAAACTGCCTAGCTCTCTTCACATTAGACTTCTGAAAGATATTCTAGTCTTAGATGCATGTTTTTTTTTTTAGTTGATATTGACTTTGAACTAGCTAAGCCCTTTTCAACTTTTATAGTTTGTTCTTATGTTGTATTGTTACATCACTGTCCTAGGTTAGGGGGAGGGTTTGGCGACAGTAAACTAGTTTAACCCCACAACATTCTGTATGTGCCTGTCCCAAGTCAGGAACCTGTAATTCCATGGTTGTCATTTGTTGCTGTATATCATATTTGATTTTTGTTCATTGTTTTGTATATAAATCAGACCGTTAGTTTTCTCCTTTGAAATATTTTAGATTTGTCATTTCAGGAACTTATAAAGCTGACTATGGGGTATGGGTTTTGCTCATTGTTGAAGGCTGAATGGTGACCTATAGTTGTGAACTTCTATGTCATTTGGTCTCTGGTGGAAAGTTGTCTCATTGGCAATCATACCACATCTTCTTATTTTCATATTCTATCAGCAAGTCTGCTACATGTGGCATGATGCATGGCAAACATTTTCATATCTAGTGTCAATTATGTTATCTCCTGGAACCTTTTTATATTTTCAAATTATGATTGTCAAAGGAAATGTCCATCAAGTTACATTCAAATCCATTCAGTGAATCTAAAACAATATAACTGTAAAATGTAAAAATTCGTAAGGGTTCCGCGGAACCCAGTGTCTCGCCTACTTTTTCTGTTAATCGCAGGCACAACAAAAATGAGGAAGTAAATCAATAAAAATATTCCTCTTGATACTATCTTTTGATTGTAAGAAGCTTCTGTCCAAATTTTGTAAAAATCCAGGATAGTTTATGAATCTAATAAATGTTTAAAAACTTTAACTGCAGACTGAATGTAATGTTAACTGGAAGAAAACAAAATTTCCTTCTAGATACTAGCATTTGATCATAAACAAGCTTCTGTTCAAGTTTGGTACAAATCCAAAATAGTATAAGAAAGTTATTAAAATTTTTAAAACTTTAACCACAGAGTGAATGTGTTGTTTCCTGTCAGAAAATCTAAGTCCATTAAAAGTAAAATACGGAAAAAATGGATTTATTTTTTTACAAAATTTCCTTCTAGATACTAGCTTTTGATCATAAACAAGCTTCTGTCTAAGTTTGGTACAAATCCAAAATAGTAAAAGAAAGTTATTAAAATTTTAAAAACTTTAACCACAGAGTGAATGTGTTATTTCCTGGCAGAAAATCTAAGTCCATTTAAAAGTAAAATAAGGAAAAAATGGATTTTTTTTTTTACAAAATTTACTTCTGGATACTATCTTATGATCATAAACAAGCTTCTGTCCAAGTTTGCTAGAAACCCAGGATAGTTTAAGAAAGTTATTAAAATTTTAAAAACTTTAACCACAGAGTGAATGTAATATTTCCCGGCAGAAAAAATAAGTCCATTTATAAGTAAAATACGGAAAAAATGGAATTTTATTTTTACAAAATTTACTTCTGGATACTATCTTATGATCATAAACAAGCTTCTGTCCAAGTTTGGTAGAAATCCAGGATAGTTTAAGAAAGTTATTAAAATTTCAAAAACTTTAACCACAGAGTGATATTTGTGGACGCCGCCGACGACGACGACGCCGACGGAATGTAGGATCGCTATGTCTCGCTTTTTCGACTAAAGTCGAAGGCTCGACAATAAAAAGGACTGGCAGACTGAATAGATATTGCTCATGTGGGGTAGATCATCTTTGAAAACACAAAAAATTTTGAAGTATCAATTGAGTATTTATAAGCATGTTTTATTTGCATGATTTTATAACTGTTCAATTAATATTGCAAGTATTTCTATACAAAAGTTCATCATATAACCATATAAACAATGCATATACATAAACTGAAGCTATTTTAAGTCAGCACCATGAAAAGTGACAAATGCCTGGCATAACTTATTTGTTATACAAAAATGTATTCTTTTATCATCGAAACTTCAGATAATACTTAAATCAACTTCCACCTCATATTGATATAAATATAAGAATCTATCATACATTAAAAATAATGAATTCACTAACTTAAGAAAAACCCCATTGCTATTTCTACCTAATCTACTCCATAAATTTTCAAAATTCAAGTAATACCTTAAACGAAGTGTAAAAAAACTAGAATTTGAATACAGAACACAGTTCAAGGTGAAAAAATGACCTTTAAAGCATGCTTACATTTTGTTTTTATTTTTGAATAAGCAGTTAGAAAGAATGCAATCTTTCATCTCTCCCAAATTTTTTTTCTTAAATGACATTATCCAGACTTTGTTCATTTCTGTTACTGGTGGATGTGCTGATAAATCTTTTTCATACAAAACTATACAATAAGTAGGGAGTGAATATAGATGAATACAAAATATCTGTTGAAAATACTAAGATTGATGCTTTTAAGATTCTTATACAAAGTGCAAATATATCCATTTATTTACCCAACCTAAAACATAAACTGAACCAAAAGAACAAGTTGTTTCATGATATTATAGAGAGGCTAAAGAAACAGGGTGCAAGTTTTTGTCAACAGATTATAACAGTCTTGGAGTTAATCTGGTTAATACAAGGAGAAATATTTTGTGGTATGTAGATGATAATCATCACACATTAGCTAAAAGGGCCTGTGGTGTTCCTGAAGCACTGATTCGTTTGAATGGGTATTAAAAATCAGAGCTCAGAAAGTGAAAGGAAACTGATGCAAGCAATCTTAAAGAGAGCATACCACATCTACTTATTTTTATATTCTACTCAAGCAAACATGGTTTCAGAGGAAATGAAAAATAAAATCCTCCAAAATGTTCCATTTCCTCTCCAGATGGATGAAAATCTACTAATTAATTTTAAACATGCAAACTGTAGACAACATCAAAGTCTGATGCATGACAAGTTCAGAATTACAGATAAATACACAGTATTTTTGCTGAAACTTGATAAACATAAATCGTCATCAAAGAAATTTTGAATACATCCAGCTAAAAAGTTTTTTGAAGTCCATATAAATAAATGATGTATAATAAGCCGAATTCATCGTAAGGGTGATGTCATTGTTGATAGTGACATAGCTTCTTCTTCCCTTTCTGTGGCTTGTTGTTTCATTTCCTGTAATGTTTTGGCAAACTTGGACCATTCATTTCCTTTAGGTGCAGCTACAGTCTACAACATAAAACAAAACACACTTCATAGAACTAGCAAAAAGTGTTCTAAATGAACCTGATAGTTTATAAAGGCTGAAATAGTCCAAAATGGTCCAATTTAAAATGGTCATTTTCACTCCCATCAAAATGACAAATTTATGAAAAATGTGTGTCCTTCAATGTCTGAAAGACTAAAATTCTTGGATATCATTTTATGCTAAATTCTAGCATGCACCAAAACCCAATCCTTTCATACAAACTGTTCCCTTGTTTGTATATATACAATAAATTATGCTATGAGAAACCAAAGAATCACTTGGATCAAAAATGAGAAGTACATAGTACCATTTTGGAAGATTTCACTGAACTTCAGTCATTAGTTTTGAAGGTTTGATAAAAACAGATAAAAATGTGGATGGATAAACAATTGAATTGACAAATGGACCCAACAATAACAAAACACCACCACATATACTGGACATAGAATATCAAAATTAATTGTCAATTTTTTTTAATCATAGTGAAACAATGATGGTATTATTATGGCATAAATAAGAGCTCAAATATTATATCCTGATCACAGTACCTGAATAAAATGCTTCACTGAGCGCAGCCTGATACGACCGCAGAGGTCGGACCCTGAACAGTTGGGGCAAATTTGGACACAATATTCAAGCTTGATACTGTCTGAATTTGGATTGTGATCAAATTTTTGACATAATATAGGTTTCTGATACAAAATAAATGTGGTCAAAGATCTTATAAATCCATTGTGCAATACTGTGCAATTGAAGATTTCTTCTTAAACTTTTCAAAAATTCGAAATTTTAAAAATTTTGAAAAAAAAATATGAATCCCTTAAAAAAATTGGGAAAACAATCCCCCCCCCCCCCACCCAACTTTTTGAAACCCCCCTTGGAGCAATAACCCCAAACTCAATCCCAGCCTTTCCTTTGTAGTATGGAACCTTGTAGTACAATTTCAGAGATATCCATACACTTACACACCAGTTATTGTCTAGAAACTAGAAAAATACTTGTTTTTGGCCCCTTTTTGGCCCCTTCTTCCTACATGTTTAGGGCAATTAACCCCAAACTCAATCCCAGCCTTCCCTTTGTTATATGGAACCTTGTGGTAGAATGTCAGAGAGATCCATATACTTACACACAAGTTATTGTCTGGAAACTAGAAAAATGCTTGTTTTTGGCCCCTTTTTGTCCTTAATTCCTAAACTGTTGGCCCCATAACCCCTAAAATGAATCCCAACCTTCTACTTGTGGTATTAAACATTGTGATACAATTTCAGAGCAATCAAAATATTATACACAAGTTATTATCCTGAAACTAGAAAAATGCTTGTTTTGGGCCCCTTGTTGGGCCCCTAATTTCTAAATGGTTGGGACCATCATCCCAAAAATCAATCAGAACCTTCCTTTTGTGGTATTGAATCTTCTTCAAAAATTTCATAGAGATCCATTCACTAAACTAAAGTTATTGTCTGGAAACCAATGTGTCTTCGGACGACGACGCAGACGACGAAGCAGATGACGATATCATACCATTATACGATCCCAAAAAAAATTTTGCGGTCGTATAAAGCATTTCAAGGAATCACACTCATTAATCTTGTCTTTTTGCCTATTGATCAACTATCCTTGATATACAGTATTTGATGTCTCTTTTGACTTTAACAGGTTTTTTTCATATGTTCTTTAAATAAAAATTAAGGAACTGTACATTCATAATTAAAAATACAATATGATTGGTGGGTAGTGTAAATTTACCTCTGCAACATCATATAAATGTATCCGGCCTATATCATCTCCAGCAGCTATATGGCTTCCTGTTTCATGCCATCGTACATGATTTAGACAAGCATTATTATCTACTGTTATTGATGTTGTAGGGACCTAAATAAATAAATTATAATCTTTTTCAGTAAAAGTTTTATCTTCATGAACCATCAATCAATGAATCTTTGAATGTTCACATTTATAACATCAAAATATTATATTACTAAGACATTGATAATATAACTAGGAGATAATAAATGTGGATAGTGTCCACATGTGGACACAGATGATGCCCCAGCTTACATATCATATAGTTATAAAGGGACATAACTGAAGAACAGTAAAAGTGACGCTATCCAAATTTGAACTTGATCTGAGTTTGGTAGTAATAAGCATTGTGTGTAAGTCTCATAACATTTGGTTGAGGCAAACTAAAGTCAGAGAACAGAAACGAAAAATTCAGCAATTTTTATGTTTATAAATGGACATAACTCAAGAATGGTAAAAGTGTCGCCACCAAATTTTGTATTTAATCTGTATTATGTAGTAATAAGCATTGTGTATAAGTTTCATAACATTTTGGTTGAGGCAACTAAAGTTAGAAAACGAGCACAAAAAATTTGTACTTGATCTTAGCTTTGTTTTTTAATATTGTGTATAGGTTTCATAATGTTTGGTTGGGGCAAACTTAAGTTACAGAATGGAAACTAAAAATTTTGCAATCTTTCGATTTATAAAGGGGCATAACTCAATAATGGTTAAAGTGACACTACCCAAATTCAACTTGATCTGAGTTTTATCAGTGGAAATCAAAATTAAACATTGCATTGTATAAAGCATTGATTGTAGTTGATTCAACTGTAATCATGGACAAAGGAAGATAACTCCAATTTTAAAAATTACTTGATATTTAGAAGAAAATAAAATTTTTGCAATTTTTTCATTTATAAAGGGGCATAACTCTAGAACGGTTAGAGTGACGCCACCAAAATTCAAACTTGATCTGTGTTTTGTGGTAATAAGCATTGTGTATAAGTTTCATAACATTTGGTTGAGGCAAACTTAAGTTAGAGAACGGAAACTAAAAATTTTTGCAATTTTTCCATTTATAAAGGGGCATAACTCTAGAACAGTTAAGGTGACACCACCAAAATTCAAACTTGATCTGTGTTTTATGGTAATAAGCATTGTGTATGAGTTTCATAACATTTGGTTGAGGCAAACTTAAGTTAGAGAACGGAAACTACAAATTTTGCAATTTTTCCATTTATAAAGGGGCATAACTCTAGAACGGTTAAAGTTATGCCACCGAAATTCAAACTTGATCTGTGTTTTGTGGTAATAAGCATTGTGTATAAGTTTCATAACATTTGGTTGAGGCAAACTCAAGTTAGAGAATGGAAACCAATTTTGGGACGTACAGACGGACAAGGGTAAAACTTAATGCCCTCATCGCTACGGTGGGGGCATAAAAAACATCAATTTTAATAGAACTGAATTCTGCAAATTCAAACATTTTTTTCTACAGAGGTTTTGTTTTGTTAATCAGTCACAGGGGATTATACTACTTTATGTTAATATATTGCATCAACTGGGCAATAAAAATTATTTTCTTAGTTATCTAGCTAGCCCAAAATAAGAGGGACCGATCTCCCCTCTGTTCTTTTCTGTGCTCACTTCAGCCCTTTATGTGCACTCCTCTGCCCTTCATTATAAAACAGTGCCCCTCTGCCCATTACAATCTCAATTTGTTTTTACTGAATTGTTACTACTGTGATGTGATACTTACCTCTGTATCATTGTTAAGATTCCATAGGTCTAATTTACCATTACCATCAGCACTGGCAAACAAGGCAGGATGTGTGGGTGACCATTTTACATCATAAATATAGTCACTGTTATCTTCAAATGAATGCAAAAATTTTTGTTCCTGTGGAAAAAAATATATAGCATTTCCCAATAACACTTAACTAACTAAGGGATGAACACAATGTCATATTTTTATTATTTGTATTCAAACCATAATGAACTAATACTAGATCACAGGCTTATACAGAAAATCTTTGAATTTTTTACTTGGAATTTATTGTCATGGCAGATTTCTTACTGGAATGTACATTATATATGAGCATAGTAAGATAATATATCACAAATGTATATAAGCTCAACAATGAAATAAACACTTTACAAAGGTGCATCCAAAGGGCTTTTCAGTATTTACCTTTTTGACCTATGTACTCATACATACTTTCATCTTGTGAGATAGCACGAAAAAATATCTAACTTAACCTGATCTTCTAGAATAAAGCAGGGACTATTCAAATGAAATCAACGTGTAATCCCCAGATATTTAGATGATTCCTACAATATCCTGTTATATATTGCAGTTAGAGAAATCTTATTCAAAGTTATAAAGAGTGCAAAGAAACAAATAAACTTTTTATAAAGATCTATATGAAACAGTCCCTATTTATCTAACTTCAAAATTTGAAAATGTAACTGTTTGAAACATAATAATCTATAATTGGCCTACTTTAATGCTCCAAAGTTTGATTGTCCAATCAAATGAAGATGTTAAGAAATAAGGTGAGAAGTCAATCTGTCCTGGAACTTTATGGCAGTCTATACCAGTGATAGGACCATGATGTCCTTCAAATCCTTCACTTATACCAGCCTTACTGTAAAACAAAAATTTACCAAATAAAACCAGTTAGATTTATTGAATAAATTAACTTATGATAATGTTACCTACAATATAGAAATTACTAACACACAAAGGCATTTTTTATAAAAAGTTACTGTAAATTCAAAAATTATTGTGTGCATTTATTATTGCAATGTCGACATAACAGACCAAAATTTGAGAATAATTATTGCGATTACAAAAAAAGCTGCATACAAATATATGTGTCAGATTTCCGAATGCGAGTTCTTATTATTGCAATACTCACCCAGTCACATTATTTGCAATAATAAAAACCTAGCAATAATTTCTGAATTTACAGTAATCACATATCTAATACAAAATATGCAATAATTTATGATATAATTCTGTGAAATTTGAACTTCGTTGGAAACCATTAGGAAACTAATTTTATCAATTTACTTAGATGACAACCCAAAACTAAAAACTAATTCAAAACAAAATTCCTAATTTACTAATCAACTAAAACCTACAAACAAAAATTTTCCATCAATCTACAAAAACGTCTGTAACCAAAACTATTTTTCTCCCTTACCTCTCACCTCTGCCTATATCGACAGACCTAAGAAGAATACATGAACAACTAAAGTGATATGATTATCTCCATGTTTATACCTCAATAGTTATAAAAAAAACAAGCTGCAGATCATATAATTATATCAGCCTCCCTTATATTCCATTTACATGTTAATTCAAAGATCTCCAGAAATTATATGATTCCCTTTTTATTAATGTAAGGCAACAGATTATATCCTCCCTACCATTACCGAATCACTATATTGTCTCCCCTTACCTGCCATGTCTACATGCAGTATAAACAGTACATTCCTCACTGCCTACAACAAAGTTGTTAACATCACCAGACAAGAAGGAGAAGCATGTAACAGCAACAGATTTACTTTGTTTAAAATGCAGTTCCATGCTGTCCTGAAACCCAAAATCAAGATTTAGTCAATAAAACATCATTTCACATTAAAAAAAAAACCAAGAAAATATTTAAATCATATCTAAGTCAAAAGAATGAAAATTGTAAAAGAAGCAATATGGTGTCCTACTTTTTGACACAAAATTGATTGGTTTTAAATCTCAACAAGTAAAATTTTTTCAAGCAGCAGGTCATCTGCACATCGGATGATGTCTTTTTTGTCTTATATGTCTACTTTTCCATGAAAGAAGACCTAGTTTTTTTTTACTTCAATAGGTGCTTTACATATAAATTATAGAATTTATTTAATGTTGATACTATCCAAAAATTTTACACTGCATCATTTTTCTAAGTCTTTGATAAATAGGTAGAATTACTCACCTGTGGTTGAGCTAACATATCTAGACTCCATGAACACATCTTTCCATCTGTAGATACACTGATCAAATTGTGAGCATTCTGTGTTCCCACTACATTTACACAGTATACTGGATGCTGAAAGAATGTTTATTATATATAGGTAATATTATATATTAGACAGACCAGATGCAGTTGAAGGATCTCAGACTCTCTTGTTCAATGTATGTCTCTTCTTTACTATTAATGTATATTAAAATGTTATAGCAATGTTTTATTCATAATAATATGTGACAGATAGAGCATTGTTTGATAAAATAAACATATATTTACTTTGTAATCAATTTTTCATTAATTAGACCAATACTAGGTCTGTACCTGTGTTGTTGCCTGGATTTGATTGCGGAAACCCAAGAAAACTTTGACGAAATTTTTCCTTGTACAGTGAGTGTTCAAACTTAACACAATAGGAAGTGACTGCATGGCAAATGTAAACATTTGGTGCTTGATAATGTTGAATTGCTTACAGTAACCGTACAACTCAACATTATCAAGCTCTAGGCCAGATACAACATTATAGTAGCTTTCATATAAGTCAAGAAAACTTTGATGAAGTTTTCTATCCAAGGTCTTGCTGATGAATTGACAGAGTCAAGCAGTTTGTAGACCTGTTTTCACTGTTGGTGACACAGGTAACTAGAGGCTCTAAAGAGCCTGTGTCGCTCACCTTGGTCTATGTGCATATTAAACAATGGACACAGATGGATTCATGACAAAATTGTGTTTTGGTGATGGTGATGTGTTTGTAGATCTTACTTTACTGAACATTCTTGCTCCTTACTATTATCTCTATCTATAATGAACTTGGCCCAGTAGTTACAGTGGAAAATATTTTGTAAAAATTTACAAAAATTTACAAAATTTATGAAAATTGTAAAAAATTGACTATAAAAGGCAATAACTCCTTAAGGGGTCAATTGACAATTTTGGTCATGTTGACTTATTTGTAGATCTAACTTTGCTGTACATTATTGCTGTTTACAGTTTATCTCTATCTATAATAATATTCAAGATAATAACCAAAAGCTGCAAAATTTTCTTAAAATTACCAATTCAGGGGCAGCAACCCAACAACATGTTGCCCGATTGGTCTGAAAATTTCAGGGCAGATAGATCTTGACCTAATGAACAATTTTATACCATCATATTTGCTCTAAATGCTTTGGTTTCAGAGATATGAGCCAAAAACTGCATTTTACCCTATGTATTATTTTTTTGCCATGTCGGCCATCTTGGTTTGCGGGCAGGGTCATCGGACACATTTTTTAAACTAGATACCCTAATGATGATTGTGGACAATTTTGGTTAAATTTGTCTTAGTAGTTTCAGAGGAGAAGATTTATGTAAAAGATTACAAAAATTTACGAAAAATGGTTAAAAATTGACTATAAAGGGCAATAACTCCTTAAGGGGTCAACTGACCATTTTGGTCAAGTTGACTTATTTGTAGATCATACTTTGCTGAACATTATTGCTGTTTACAGTTTATCTCTATCTATAATAATATTCAAGATAATAACCAAAAACGGCAAAATTTCCTTAAAAATACCAATTCAGGGGCAGCAACCCAACAACGTGTTGCCTGATTGGTCTGAAAATTTCAGGGCAAATAGATCTTGACCTAATGAACAATTTTATCCTCATCAGATTTGCCCTGAATGCTTTGGTTTCAGAGATATGAGCCAAAAACTGCATTTTACCCTATGTATTATTTTTTTGCCATGTCGGCCATCTTGGTTTGCGGGCAGGGTCATTGGACACATTTTTTAAACTAGATACCCTAATGATGATTGTGGACAATTTTGGTTAAATTTGTCTTAGTAGTTTCAGAGGAGAAGATTTTTGTAAAAGATTACAAAAATTTACGAAAAATGGTTAAAAATTGACTATAAAGGGCAATAACTCCTTAAGGGGTCAACTGACCATTTTGGTCAAGTTGACTTATTTGTAGATCATACTTTGCTGAACATTATTGCTGTTTACAGTTTATCTCTATCTATAATAATATTCAAGATAATAACCAAAAACGGCAAAATTTCCTTAAAATTACCAATTCAGGGGCAGCAACCCAACAACGGGTTGTCCGATTTATCTGAAAATTTCAGGGCAGATAGATCTTGACCTGATAAACAATTTTACCCCGTCAGATTTGCTCTAAATGCTTTGGTTTCAGAGATATAAGCCAAAATCTACATTTTACCCCTATGTTCTATTTTTAGCCATGGTGGCCATCTTGGTTGGTTGGCGGGGTCATCGGACACATTTTTTAAACTAGATACCCCAATGATGATTGTGGCCAAGTTTGGTCAAATTTGGCCCAGTAGTTTCAGAGGAGAAGATTTTTGTAAAAGTTTACGGACGACGGACGCAGGACGACGGACGACGGACGCAAAGTGATGAGAAAAGCTCACTTGACCTTTCAGGTCAGGTGAGCTAAAAATGACTGGAATCACATTAATTGATCTTATATTCTGTTAATAAAAGGATATGCATGTGGTAAATTATTAATAGAAAGTTTATACATGTTTTTTCCTTTACTTTTCTTTTCTACAGCTAGTTGTCCTATCAAAGATGGGTGTTAAGAGAAACATGATCATATTATAGCATAGTTTTTCTCTGTTAGAAAGAAATGAATATAACTATACTAACTGTGTGAGCAGCAGCAGACAAAGGAGTTCTCTGTATTGGGGTGCGTTTGTTTACTCTGTTGTCCCATAATACAATCTGCCCTGAATATGTGCCACCTACTATCAAGTTAGGGTGAAATTCAGCAAAACATGACGACATAATGGCAGACTGAAATAAAAAATATCATTGATTATAGTTAGTTTCCATTATGAAAAGAAGGAATCATCATGGCTTTGATGTATTAGGCATCAATACACCCCTACCCCTTTCAGCTCAATTTTCTATGATTTACCAGTATTTGCATTGAATTTATTTTGAGGTATTTCATAGCAGTACCATCTTTTTGAAAACTTTGATCATAAGCATAAATAGATGTGGTCACACTATAGTTGGAATATAAATTTTAGAGGTAAAATGTTTTGTTATGCCATGCTAATTTGCATTGCTGAGCTAAATATTACAGAAATGTACTAATTCAAAAAAACATGGAACCATAACCCTTGTCTTGGAAAATCAAATTGTATTGCTATGTAGATGTAATATTTTTTATATATATAAATTACTGTAAATTCAGAAATTATTCCAAGGTCTTTATTAATGCAAATAATGCAACTGGTTTAGTATCGCAATACTAAGAAATCACAGTCTGATATCTGATATATATATCTGTATGAAGCTTTTCCTCAAATCACAATAATTCATCTTGTATATTTGTACAGTCTTCAAAAATTGCAATAATAAATGCACGCAATAATTTCTAAATTGTCAGTACTCTATAAAAGTCCTTCTTATTAATCAATACCTGGTATAATAAAATCATTTTGTTGGTTGATTAATTAATTGCTTCAAAGTAATTCATTCATTCTAACAAATACAATGTATTTTGAACTAACCTGACAGTGGAAGACATATTCTGGAGTTTGTTTTTTAAATTTCATGTTCCAAATCAATGCTACACCATCTGGGTCATGTGGTGAATCCTCATTGGTATTGTAGGATGCTAACAGTAGTTCTGGATGCTGAAACATATAGAAATCATATCACTTATTCTAAATAACATTCAAAGTATTAATCATCACTTCTAATAGTCTGTCTACTTTCATTTAAAATGACAGAGTATGGGAGACAACTCAAACATTCTTTTTCATGTTATTTACAGGAAAATTAACAGGTGGTTTAATTGAATTTTACCACAAATTTGATACTGCATTACAGTAAAAGGGTCAGTTAGATATATAAGAGAATAACAGTCAATGAACTTTACTTCTTTTCAAGTTATATTTTTTATAGTTCCTTTAATGGGTATTCTGCATATTTTTTAAACAGAAGTACATACCTGTTTAGACCAATCTAAACTAGTATTTGTTCTGTGCTTAGACCATCTCTCATCATAAAATATTCTGTTTAACTTCAGTCTTTCTCCAGCTAACTCACTACAAAAGACACATAGTTCTGTAACATACATCAGAAGTAAGTTTTAGACATATCAAACATCTCATTCAGTAAACTCTTTTATACAAGTTTACAAGTTAAATATGAAAAAAAATACAATCTAACTTTTTTCCTGTTAAGCAATGTTATAATTTGACCAAATGTCAACACTATAGTCATATTCTTGTCTCTTTACAAATGAAGATACTTAAACATTTTCAATGGTTTTTCAAACGGAATGGTGTTTCTCAGCTACAATCTCATGGAAGGGCGACAGTAACATCCTTTAGGTTTGAAAGACCATTGATAATCTGTTTATTGCTATTTTCCTAGGCAACATCAATAATGTAGGCTCATGACGTCATACATTCTCTTTCTACTTAGGCAACATCAATAATGTAGGCTCATGATGTCATACATTCTCTTTCTACATTATATTTGACATAGAAAAACCAAGATCACTCGAGGAGCGTAATATGAACAATTATCACAAAAAAGATTAAAGCAAAATTTGAGAAAAAAAACAATAATATAATTGCATTTCTTTGAAATATGTTCGTTGATAAGAACTCTGTAGTTGCTGTTTGCTATAATTGTTTATTGTTTAATGTTATCAACTAAGTCAGGCAGTTGGTTTTCTCTTTGAAATTGTTTCAAATTTTTTTATCCAGTAGTCTTTTAAAGCTTACTTTATGGTATGTGTTTTTCTCATTGTTGAAGGTCATATGGTGACCTTTAAATTGTTCATAATTATACAAGAACTTACTCATCTTTGCCCTCATTATCTCCACCTGAATAATCAGTGTAGATATCTACTTCCTCTGTAAGTATCCTTTCAACAAGCCGAGCAGATTTACTGAAGAACGTCTGGAAATCCTCAGAATTTAGAATCTGTTGTTTCTCTTCCTCACTTAATTCTGGCACTAAAATAGAATTCATTTTACATATACCGGTATGTGAGTAATATTTTTATTGGGGATTTGTCAAAAATAATGGCTATGCTTAAGTTTCTCTGTTATTTGTTCCTAATAACTTGAGGTTATTTTGGTAGGAAGGCAAATTATTTCCTTACTTGTGGTGCATATTTCACAGCAAAAGCTACGGCGGGGGCATAATTAAAAAAAAACTTCAAATTTATTAACATATATTAATGAAGATAATTCTTTTTTATTTAACATCCTTATTCTACCAACATAACTTACATGGTTTTTCTTCCTTTTTGTCCAAATCTTCTTGTGTCTGTTTTGGTGCCACCATTTCAACATGTGGCATCTTAGATGATGTTGGTGTCTGTGGCTGGGCTGCCATAGAATCTGTTTCTCCGTCCTCATCTGTGTGACCCATGGGGTCGTCATAAGTAAGAACTATGTGTTAGTATTTAATGTTGCTGTCCAATAACAATTTTGTTAGTATTTTCATACACTAATAGTGTTATTTTTGTACTTTTGACTAATTGTATAAGAGAATTTTTTTATTTTCTAGCGTGAAAGTGGCATAATAAATACATTCTGACAAAAATTAAATTAAAACATGCATTTATTTTCCTCTACATTAATTTGTTATAAAATGCATAAAAGCTCTTTAAAATATCCTTTCTCACACTTCAAGATGATATAAATCTTAAATGAAGAAGTGTCTACCAATTTTGCTGAAGGTTACCTGAAATGTCTGACCATAAACTGAAAATTATTGCTAAGCCTCCCTATGGATAAACTTAATAATAGCTCATTCTAAAGATCAGACTTATAATAAAGATAGAAAGAAGAAAATTGGTAGATGCACTGATGTTCGCGATTTACCTTGGTACATATTAGGCAAAACATGTTTAATATTGTAAATACCTCTTATAATACCTTTGTAATGTTTCCTTTTTTAACTTGCAGGGCCTTAACTTTAAACCACCTGAATATATTCATAGGTGATGGGGTTCAAATAACTTATTGGAAGAAAATACTCAAAATCTCTAACAAAATTTACAAGGGTGTGGGGCACAAGAAAAATGTCTGCTCCAAGAATCCCATACATTTTTTAATAGCCTTTAGCAATTCCCCATTTCAGAATCTACTGCATTCTGGGTAATATTTTCAAAAGCGTACAACAAAATGTTTGCTTGCGATGTCTTAAACATTGGAAATTCAACCAATGGCATGATATTTTTTTTTCATTTTGGTGTACAAACAATTTTGGTGTACAAACAATGCTATTTCCTATAGTTCTTTAGATTCTGAAATGGAAAATTGCTTTTGTTGTTGTTGTTGTTGTTTTTTGTATGATTATTTCATGTAATTCTTTAAATACACATAACTTGCAGCTACCAAGAAAATCTTTTCAAAGAAAATTGCTATGCATCAAAAATAGGCTTAACAGGTTGGTTATGCTTATAGAAGCATGTGGGAACTACCTATAAGCAATAATGCCACACATAATGATTTAAGTACAAATGTATACAATAATTATAAACTAATATAGTATTTGACTGTCATAGAAGTTATTACTGACTATATTTATTACATATATACAACAAACATTCATGTAAATGCACCCTCCATTCAAAACTCAACATAAATAAATTTAGTGAATAAATAAGTGCAGATCTGAAAACTTTGTTCAGGAAATAAAATTTAAAAGGCCACAATAAAAAAGATGCTTTTATACAAAAAATTTAGCAGCAAATTTTGTAGCAGACCAAAAGTCAGAGTTTAAAAACCAGACTTCTATTTATATAGAAGTTGTTCATGTGGAAGAAACAAAAATAATTAATATCAGAACAGTTCTGAAATTAATGTATTTTCAGATGTATTTTAATTGTCTTTTGAAAATTGATACAAAAAATCTGCAGTTTATCTGCTGACTATGTAAATGGATACTATATTTGTATTTAAAAAATTTAAGTGCCCACTCTTCAATAAAATTCTCTGATAACTCAAAATTTATTATAAAACTTTAAAAAAAATACTTTAATACTTTAAATTTTCTTCTGTTTCTTCCCCCCCCCCCCCCCCCCCACACACAAGTTTTTTTCTGTATACCCATTAAAACTAAAAAGTAATTATACATCATAAATAGTTAACAACATAAAGCACTGTCTAAGAATAAAATGCCATTCATAACCGAGATAATAACCATCCTTTTTGTGATCCTAAAATTTAGAAACCATGTAGAATCACAATTAATCAGTACTTTTTGGAATGTCATTTTTTAAAATTTTTATTCTTTATAATGAGATGCAGAATATCACAGTTAAAAAATCAGTTGCATTAAAAATAAACTGTTGACACAGAGATATGTCTCGCCTGTCAGCATAAAATTCAGAAAAAGACAATCTGATGGACAGTAACATTGCTAATTAATTCAAAGTCGCTGGACCAACTAGTGGGTAGGGCCTCGAAATGGATGACAAACTGAGATGTACAGACAGCAATGTAACTTTATAGAAAATATTGTCTATTATAAGTAGTTCATTTCAAACTAACTTAATCAGAAAGCTTTACATTGAAAATTGTTAATTGATTGAAAGTCACTGGACCATGAACTAGGGGGCAGGGCCTTGAAATAGTCATCAAACTGATAAGTACTGATAGAAATGCGACTTCGTACAAAATAGCATTGATCTATCACAAGTAGATCCTATCAAACTAACTTAAGCAGAAAACTTAACATTGAAAATTGCTTATTAATTCAGTCACTGGACCATGACTATGGGGGCAGGGCCTCAAAATATTCATCAAACTGATATATACTGATAGTAATGCAACTTTGTATTCAATATCAATGATCTTCCACAAGTAGTTCCTATCAAACTAACTTAAGCAGAAAACTTAACATTGAAAATTGCTAGTCAATTCACAGTTGCTGGACCATGACCTAGGGGGCAGGGCCTAAAAATAGTCGTCAAACTGATATGTATTGATAGCAATGCAACTTTGTATTAAATATCAATGATCTATCACAAGTAGTTCCTATCAAACTAACTTAAGCAGAAAACTTAACAATTGTTGACGCCACCATCGCCGCAGAAAAGCAATCCCTATGTCTTGCTTTCCGCGACTTTCGTTGAAAGCGAGACAAATACAAAAAAATTCAAAAAGAAACAGCTGAAACATGAAGTAACTTCAAACAGATATAATCTTGGTTTACCAAAGATAAACATCTAAGACCAATATAAAACATTCAATTATGGACAAGTCTGTATACCAAAATACAAGTATTAAATCTATTCATGTGAATTTAGCAGAGACAGGCGATAGGTCATAAATCAACATCAAATTCTGTAAAGGGACACAAAACAGTTGGAGATAAAAACAAAATATTGGACAAAACACCTGACTTGGTACATGTGCAGTTTCCTCTCTCAACCCTTGCACCTTCATTGAAGAAATAATGATGCAGGTAAAAAAAACAAATATTCCTGATTTAGTATGGTAAGATGAATCAATATCTTATTCTTCACTAAGACCTCAGTTTATATAAAAATTCGTAAGGGTTCCGCGGAACCCAGTGTCTCGCCTACTTTTGGTGTTAATCGCAGGCTCAACAAAATTGAGGAAAAAAATTAATAAAAATATTCCTCTCTATACTATCTTTTGATTGTAAGTAGCTTCTGTCCAAGTTTGGTAAAAATCCAGGATAATTTATGAATCTAATAAATGTTTTAAAAACTTAAACTGCAGAATGTATGTAATGTTGACTGGAAGAAAAACTAAGTCCATTTATAAGTAAAATATGGAAAAAATGGAACAAAATTTTATCAGAATTTCCTTCTAGATACTATCTTATGATCATAAACAAGCTTCTTTCCAAGTTTGGTAGAAATCCAGGATAGTTTAAGAAAGTTATTAAAATTTCAAAAACTTTAACCACAGAGTGAATGTAATGTTTCCTGGCAGAAAAACTAAGTCCACTTATAAGTAAAATACGGAAAAAATGGAATTTTTTTTTTACAAAATTTACTTTTGAATATAATCTTATGATCATAAACAAGCTTCTGTCCAAGTTTGGTAGAAATCCAGGATAGTTTAAGAAAGTTATTAAAATTTCAAAAACTTTAACCACAGAGTGAATATTTGTGGCCGCCGCCGCCGCCGACGACGACGACGACGACGCCGACGGAATGTAGGATCGCTATGTCTCGCTTTTTCGACAAAAGTCGAAGGCTCGACAAAAATCAAAAACAAAAAAATCCAATTATTAAATAATACTTGATTACAGATGACAAACCACGGTAACATGTAAGAACTAGATAGTACTGTATTATAATAAACATACAGTTACTGAAAGCTATCTCACATCACTCTATCTCATGACAATGAATTCATAATAAAAATAAGGATATGTGGTATGATTGCCAAAGAAACAACTCCCGATTCATGCCTCCACAGTCTTATATTGGTTTCTGTACTTCTAGATAAGTTCTCCCTAAGTGACATCATAAAATAAAAAAAAATATTTGCATCTTACTTTTTCACTTTTTTTTTTAAATAAAAAAAAACAATATACAAAGTATTACTAACATTCACTAACTTGCATTCATGACTACAGCTAAAGCATACAACAATGAGTAAAGAGTACCGCAATAGTAGAATATACAGATCATTTCAATCAAAATATGCATTGTCCTGATAAAAAAATCTTATTCAATTGAATAAAAAGATCTCTTCAAGTAAAAAATCTGACTTTTTAAGAAGAGATATCTAACACCTACAAAACATTTACATGACAACCACAAACAACAATGTACCTTCATCATCAAATTCATCCTCCCATTCAAAATCATGATGTATAAAGCGCGGAGATCCATGAGATCCATGAAGCGGGGAACTGTATTGTGATCCCCCTGAACATAAGCCGCAATGAAAAGAAAATGGGAAGAAATCTTTGCATCGAATGTATATAATGTGTTCGATTTTAAAACTTTTTCTCTATTACAGTATCAAAACGGATATAAAATGATGTGTATGACTGAAAAATCCTTTACACATTCAATTTTACACAAAAAAAAAGGATTTTTGATGGCAACGTTTATAAGTAATTTAATATCTTTTATGCAGACCTTCCAAGCAAATATAGATAAGTTCATATCTTCAAGTTTACTTGAAAAAATAAATTAAGCTTCTTTAAATTAAACATGAATTATATTTTTGTATTTCATGTTCCTTTCTCCTACCTTAGACTTAAAAATATTTGTTATTGATAAGGCAATAGATTATTCCTTAATTGAACTTATATATGCTCTTTTGGTTTTTCAGTGCCAACCACACTGCTGAGTATAGTATTAATCATAAAAATCTAAAAACCAAAAAAATTAGATGCTTATGTTGTAATTTAACAACAAATTTAAAAATTGATGAATACATTTTTCAGTTTGCTCTAATATAGTTCACTACTGAATAAGAGTAAAAACTTGATGCAAAGGCACCTTCCACGATTCACATTACACTGAAGAACTAAAAATTGAACTGAAAAAAATGACAGCAGAGCATTGGACCTACCCCGCCTGGAACTGTCTCCGTCAGAGAAGTTTTCTACAAAATATTGACAAAAATATACTTCCCCAATAACTAAATCTAAAATTTTTTCAAAAAACATATGACATTTTATTTTTATTCTTTTTTTCCCATTATCTTTTAATACAAGATTCACACTCCAGGAACGTTTTCACTGCTGTAAATATTTATTTAAATTGTTATACCATTTCATTATCAGAGAATTGTCTGTTTGTCAAACAATCAAAAAATTAAAACATGGAAACAGGCTGAACTAAAAAGCTACATTGTCAATAAAAACAAGAACAGTTTATGGATCCATTGATGGTTGTTCAACTTTCAGTTGCAATAAAAACTGTTAAGAAACACAAATCGAAATGAAAAACATAATAAAAAATTTCAGAGGTTAAATCTCATGATACTGGAACAGATTTTATGTAAATATTATTTTTTTCTTACTTTAAATAAATTCAAAAAGAACTGTAAATTGGGTTAGAAGTTATTCAACTTGTACATAATTATTTTGCTACATTGTTTTTTCTTTCTCTTTCTAATGCAAGAGCAATTAATACTCTCTCTATGAGTCTCTATCCTCTTAACCCAAAATTTAAAATTTGTAAATTTATTTCTATTCTTTAAATGAGAAAAAAAATCATTATGCTGAAAAACAGAAAATAACAACACTGAAAAGCAACAACAAAACATGAGGTAGGATGGAAGGTGCATTTACATTTGTTTGACAACCATTTTTTCACATCTTTTTTTTCTGTCAAAACAATTGGAACAATTGTATTTGTAACCCAACTATAAATATTATTAAAGCAATTTAAAAAATGACAGTTTTACTTATAATGTGTATTTGTTATACATGTACATCACATGATGTTTGAAAAAAATTCATCACCAAATACATGTATATATACAAATAAACACATACTTCTAGTATGCCTTTCTGTATCAATAATAATAGTGTATGTCGTAAACTTTTAGCTATACTATAAGCAAGGTCTTATAAATGTAGAATGGATTTAAATTTTTTAAATATTTAATTTTGTATTTTTTAATTTAAGCAGTTAAGCATGCGATCTTTTACTTTAATGCAATGGACCACAATTTTCACAGACAGGTTATAAACATGCATATTATGTACCAATAAGTTAAGATGATTAAGATATTAAGTCATAATATCTCTGTAAATGGATTTAAATATTTGTTTAATAAATGTAATCAATGTTCTGTTTTAGATCCACTGCATCAGTTAAAAGAGAAAAAATGTAGATACACATCAAACAATGAAAAAGAATGTGTATAACACATCTTTAATTTTAGCTTCAAAGCAAGAATCATGTCAAAATCAATCGGAAATGAAATCTGCATATCTTTCCAATTATTAAGGATCACATTAGTTTAATGAAATATGTGAAATGTGTTAAAAAAAGACATTTACTGTTGAGTTTTGTATATCATTGCATTTTCTTGGTATTTCAGATGGTTTCGTTTACACATATTCCAGATATTAAGCTGAAACCCCACACCTCTCTGTGTCACAATATTTAAGGGCATAACTTTGGACCACTAACAAGAAATATGTTAAATTTAAGCTACGACTGTCTTAAGCTATTTATAGATTTGTGTTAAAATGCCAAATTATTTTTGTTTATTTCCACTTTGGGGACATAATTTGAGAACCAAAAACCTGTAATGTGCCAATTTCAAATTTGATGTATACAGTTGTTTCTAGCATCAAACTAACCATGTTTTTGTTAAGGTATACTCAGTGACTTAGGAGAAATCTTAAATTTGTCTATTTATCCTGTTATGAAGGAACTTAACTCTACAGTGACAAATGTGAAATGTGTCTAATCTAAACCTAACCTTTGATAAAGTTGTGTAAGTGGTTCTTTGAACTGTCTATAAATACTGAATGATATAATTGAGGATACACCAGTAATTGAGGAAAACAAAAAACTTAAAGCTTTTTTTATACATAACTTAGAAGCATAACACTGTTAAAAACTCAGAATAATCCAGTTAACTTTCACCAATACATCATATACATGTTATATATCTTTTATAAATATACAAATAATATATTTTTTTATGGACTACAAAAGTTTGCCAATTACTGGTATATGGTACATCTGAATAAATTTGTAAAATACATAAAGTTAGTTGTACAATAAAATCTGAAGCAAAATCAAGATTATCTTTGACATATGATGCAATATTTACGTATCAACTGTAGAAAGCTTATAGATATTTTTACATTTGTAAAATACATACGTTTGATAACTGAAATAGACAACACAAGATATTTAAATAGTTGCGGACAATCAACTCACCGTAATAATCCCACGGGTTTCTTCCTAATGTTTGCATGAATGAAAATATCATATTTACTACTAGGTGCAATTTCATACAAATAAGTTGAGGAGATTGCAAAAATAAAAACATGGTAATAAAGATCGTAAACTATACAAACAAACCCATAGGTCATGCATTTTCTAAACCAGATATAGTGTTCAACAAAATAATACAGAAAATTATATAAAAAAAATGCCTTAAAAGAATATCTAAAAAAAACAGATCAATTTTCATTGCTTCAGAGCTTCAAAAAATATTCTTAACTAAGTATTTTTAAAGTTATTTACTTTATCTGATCACCATGAACTTAAAACTACTTGACAACAATTATTGCTGAAAATCAAATTTTTTTTTTATTTATATGTATTTCAAAGTGAGATGCAGAATTTAAGACACAACTTTTAAGCGTTACAGTATAATTCAGAATCCAGTAGGATCCCGAATCCCCCTAGTGCATATTTGAATTCCAATATTCACTAAGGTCTGTTAAAAAATTTATCATGTAGTGAGATGGTAGACACTCAAATTAATTAAATACGTCTGGTTCCCTTTTTCTTAGAATTTTGTAAGAAATAAAAGTTAAATGAAATTTTTTTTGTTATGGGTGGTCAGGGTCTTACAAAAGTGCCTCAAGTTCCCCCATGAATTTAATATTACATTGCCATGCACAGTTGCAGCTGGATGGAATTAAATGATAATATAATGTAAACCAACTTATTTTGCTGGATACTTTATTTTGGGTTTAGACCATTTTAGCCCACTTCACAGTGTTTTAATTTTCACGAATTTCCAATTTACTTGAAGTTGTTAAATAAGGAAAGATCCAAGTTTTACATATTCAAATTATTTTTCTACTCTCAAAAGGAGCGAAAAACAAATCTCTTGCAAAAATTAGCTGGTTTACAGTATAAACAATTTCATTAATTTCCATAGAATTAAAATGTTTTTATTGCTTCATTTTGCTGTTGAAGACATTATTGCAAATTTTACATGCTTTTGTCAAATTTTGGAACATAGGTTACATATTACTAACCAAAAAAAAATATCCATTTTTCCAACAGGAATTATCAAAATTAGTCCAACAATTCTGAAACATGCCTTTTTAAAGGGTTGTCACCATCCAAAATTTCATTTTGCTTCAATTGTGTTATCATTTTATGTATTTGAAAAAGGCTTGTTGAAGACAAATTTTGATTGCAAGTTTATTTCATTATGAAGTAAATCAAAATATTGTAATTATATATTGTGTCTTCTAGTATAATCACGGATCCTCCTAGTACAAACCTGGATATCCTAATTTCTTCTAGAAGACATTGGAATTCTGATTTGTACTGGATTTTGATTAGTATAAAAAAAAAATCCATTTTCTAGTAGTAAAGCCAAAGTTGTTGCGCCAAAAATTTTTTTTAATAATATAAAGTATTGATATTTGACTTGTATTATCATTTATTTTGTTTCCTTCTAATTAATTGCTGTCAGTAAAAATGATTAAAAAAGAAAACGCAGTACAATCCAGAATCATACTTTACGATACTGTTGTCAGGTCATTAAAGATTGCATATTTTGGCTTTAATATTGATTCACTTATAGGGTCTTTGCATCGGAATTAAACATATTTATTATAAAACCAGTTGTTGGCATGACACAGGTTATGTTCTTCTCATATATTTTATGATGGTATAATACTAAACCCCTAACAGGAGGGATTGTGCCTGATATTCATATGATGAAGACATAATCTTTCAATCAGTTTAATTGAGGTCTGGAGCTGGCATGTCAGTAACTGCTAGTAGTCTGTTGTTATTTATGTATTATTGTCATTGTGTTTATTTTCTTTTGTTTCCTATTCTGACATCGGACTCGGACTTCTCTTAAACTGAGTTTTACTGTGCGTACTGTTGTGCGTTTGTTTTTTCTACATTGGCTAGAGGTATAGGGGGAGGGTTGAGATCTCAAAAAACATGTTTAACCCTGCCGCATTTTTGCGCCTGTCCCAAGTTAGGAGCCTCTGGCCTTTGTTAGTTTTGTATCATTTTTAATTTTAGTTTCTTGTGTATAATTTGGAGTTTAGTATGACGTCCATTATCACTGAACTAGTATACATATTTGTTTAGAGACCAGCTGAAGGACGCCTCCGGGTGCGGGAGTTTCTCGCTGCATTGAAGACCCGTTGGTGGCCTTCGGCTGTTATCTGCTCTATGGTCGGGTTGTTGTCTCTTTGACACATTCCCCATTTCCATTCTCAATTTTACAATGTAGCTATAATCTTTAGTAATATCCTGGATCCTAGAATAAATTTAGTATAATCCAGGATCATCCTAGTATAAATCTAGATATCCCAATTTTTACAAGTAGATATTTAAAATTCTGATTTGTACTGGATTTTAATAAGTATGAGTCAAAATTTCAAGTTCTACTGGTAAATATTGACTTCCAATTTGGAGGATTCTGGTCCTTCTGAATTCCAATTTTAACAGCAACATATAAATAGCATGGCCTATAATTTCCTGGAAAAAAGTATCCTTATAAATGCAAAACAGCAATGACAAAGAAAAAGATAACTCCATAATCCAATGCATTTAGTTTTTGTTCTTATATCAAATACCCATGCCCATATAAGTGCTTTTAAAACACTTGAATTACCATTTGTTTTATTGGTCAGCATGCACCTCTTCCACAAATGGTATTTTATATGTCAGCCTAAAACATGCATGATAGAATAACACAATCAATATATTCCTGTCTTAATAATATACTTGCCTTCCTTATCTAATGGTTCTACTACAGCAGTCTGTGTTTCTTTACTATAGGATACATTTTCTTTAGGTGGTATGCTAGTTTCAGATACTTTGACCACAGACAGTTTAATTTTTGGTTTTCTGCTGCAATTTTTAAGAATTAGTTAGTTAATTCAAGCTTTGGTGTGATCTAGAGTATGTTCAAAATGCACTTTAAAAATGACACTTATTCTTTTAAAGGTGTTCACAATTATCTAAATAAGCATTTTGCTTTAACAGATTCTTTTTTTTTTCTTCAACATTTATTTATCAGATAAATAATCATAATCACTGCATTTTCCAATATTCATCATACCCTTGACTATACTATACTATATCAAGTTAAATAATTCCTGCAAAAAAATGTATTCATGACTTATTTTAGTTCTGGTGTATTTGCTTGATATAAATCCATAACCCTTACCATGCATGACCTATCTTTCGACAGGTTAGGTACAACATTTAGTTTTAAATCCTCTGATGGTCGTTCCAGTCTTAAAGGGCAGCTACATTTAGTTCCTTTTCAATTTAAATAATGCGCCTATACAATAAGTCACAGCTATTTTGAAGTGTATTATGAAAAAATTAATGGCTCATAGCACAAATTCTGACTTGGAAAAATTGGTCTGTCAGACTTTTTTTTGGTGTGTGTGGTGGACTGCTTTTTCCAGGTCACATTTTAAAAGACAAAGCAGGAGACAAGTCCAATTAGGTTGCAAACATGTAAAAATATGTCTACATTTAGTTTTATAATGAATTATATAAGGACCATGAAATGGCTACTTCTAGTTTTGAGGACCAAGTTTGGTGGCCATTTCTGACCAACAGACTACTGAATCAAGGGACATTTTCATTTAATGATAACAATAAGGTTGTCAATTTTCTCATGACCACTTTCTAGGATGTACAAAAAAAACGGTACCTTCCACCATCCATTTTCCTTGAGGACAACAAATCAGCTGATGTTTTTTTCCATGTGTTACCATTCATTGGGGTCATTCTATCCAAAGATACCTTTATTATAGCTTTGATATCTTCTAAGTAAGACAAAGCATTACATTACAAATAAATCTCTATATTTAAAGTAAAATGGTTTACAAATTTGACTTTGTAGGCTAATGACTTAAAAATGCAGACCTCCATGTAGGCAATACATAGGGAACTTGAGTTAATCCTTGTTTAATCAATAAGTGACCCATATTTGATTACAAACCTAGTTGTGACAATAACTTGTTTGGCCTCTGTGTCTGAAGCAGATTTATTGGAATGTGTTGGACTTGGACTGGAACTCTTTGGTCCTACAAAAGTATAATACAACAAATGTTCTACTTTAATGATATCTATTCTATCATTTTCAAGAAGTTCAGTTTGAAATACATGTGAAGTACATTGAAGTTGAGATTAATTTGAAATATATGTTGATACTAATATTTTCTGATGTCACTCATATTTTCTGATGTGTTTGGTTTTATTTTTAATTCCACAACTTTCAATAATCTGGATAATGATTATATAAAGAGCTTGTTGTATACTGTGTAGGCCCTTGGACCTGCTCCTGACTATAATGTACCTCAAATGATTTTTTATTGCTGGGTTCATTATATCATTATGAACATGTTTTAAATACACTGACTGTTTGAAAACTTAAGAAGAACACATTCTAGGTCAGCATGGTCAGGTAAAAACAAATTCAGTTTCAACTGCCAGAATATAACCAAATTTAGTCGTCACTGGTTAAATTTAATTAAAATATATATATATATATGTAAAAAGAAATTTAAAATAATGTTAACATACATGTACACTACTATTTGTTTCTCTATTTTCTCCTTTAAATGAACTGAAAGTAAAATCCTAAACAACTATTACCTGAAGGAGGAATCCCAAGATCCTTCAATAATTCATCTGTTTCTGCTCTTAGATCTTGTGATTGTGCAGGCTTTGGTGCTTCATCAGTCTGTTAAAAAAAGAGAAATCTATATGATATATTTCTTATTCAAACTAGATAAGGACAAAGATAATAAATGTGTTTTTGGTAACCAGACCGACCCTCTTTATTTACATCTGACTTAACATATACTAAAAGTAAGTCAATCAAGTGGAGTCCTGATTTAACAAAATCTGATACATTGTTATCAGATACAACTTCTAGCATAAAATGTCTGACTTTCCCTGAATAATTCTGACTAAACATTGTGTATAGCATTTGTCTACATGTATGTACATGTATTATACATGGACATGATTAACAGGATAAAAAACATCACCAATATATTTAACAACAACTGAAATATTTTCATCAAGGCAAAAAATCAAATATCATATATTCACCTACAAAAGCATTTGTATAAATGTAACAGTTATTGGTGGATATAAAAAAAAAATATCATTTAAGTTGACATCTGGGGTTGTTTTCTTCTGGTTTAAGGTGTAATCTCTTAAGATCATTGTTGAAGCCCCCCTTTTCAAGACAGTGAAACATATGTATTTTTATTTTCCACTATAATATGGAATTGTAGATGTAAATTCTCTCACATTTCCCTTAACTAAATTTATTCTGTGTAGTAAACAAGTAATACTTGTCAACTGGGCAAGTCAAATATATCTCAAGTCATATGAAATGAGTTTCTGCCAAAATGGTGATAAATAAATGTAAAGGAATTGTTCAACCAAAGCATGAATATTTACTAAACTAAGTACTCTGAGCATGTTATTTTACATTTATTATGAATCCATCATGTTTCATTGACAAATAAATATCATGTGAATTGAAAAAAAAATTCGTAAGGGTTCAGCGGAACCCAGTGTCTCGCCTACTTTTTCTGTTAATCCCAGGCTCAACACAAGAGTGCACACACTGAAATGTCTCGCCTTCTTTACTAATCATTGATATTATGTTGATAGTCCTAAATATAAAGCTTTATTACAACTGTCACATAAACTTAACATTAACCAAGTAAACTAAACATTGACCAATGAACCATGAAAATGAGGTCAAGGTCAGATGAACCATGCTAGGCAGGCATGTACAGCTAACAATTCTTCCATACAACAAATATAGTTGACCTATAGCTTATAGTTTAAGAAAAACAGACCAAAACACAAAAACTTAACAGTGAGCAATGAACCTTGAAAATGAGGTCAAGGTCAAATAAAACCTGTGTGACTGACACACAGATCATAAAATATTTCCATACACCAAATATAGTTGAACTATTGCATAAAGTATTAGAAAAAAAGACCAAAACTCAAAAACTTTACTTTTGACCACTGAACCATGAAAATGAAGTCAAGGTCAGATGACACCTGCCAGCTAGACATGTGCACCTTACAATCATTCCATACACCAAATATAGTAGACCTATTGCATACAGTATAAGAAAATCAGACCAAAACACAAAAACTTAACTATAACCACTGAACCATGAAAGTGAGGTCAAGGTCAGATGAAACCTGCCAGTTGGACATGTACACCTTACAGTCCTTCCATACACCGAATATACTAGACCTATTGCTTATAGTATCTGAGATATGGACTTGACCACCAAAACTTAACCTTGTTCACTGATCCATGAAATGAGGTTGAGGTCAAGTGAAAACTGTCTGACAGGCATGATGACCTTGCAAGGTATGCACATACCAAATATAGTTATCCTTTTACTTATAATAAGAGAGAATTTAACATTACAAAAAATCTTAACTTTTTTTTCAAGTAGTCACTGAACCATGAAAATGAGGTCAAGGACATTAGAAATGTGACTGACGGAAACTTCGTAACATGAGGCATCCATATACAAAGTATGAAGCATCCAGATCTTCCACCTTCTAAAATATAAAGCTTTTAAGAAGTTAGCTAACGCCGCTGCCGCCGCCAGATCACTATCCTTATGTCGAGCTTTCTGCGACAAAAGTCGCAGGCTCGACAAAAAATGAAGAAGTAAATCAATAAAAATATTCCTCTTGATACTATCTTTTGATTGAAAGAAGCTTCTGTCCAAGTTTGGTAAAAATCCAGGATAGTTTATGAATCTAATAAATGTTTAAAAACTTTAACTGCAGACTGAATGTAATGTTAACTGGAAGAAAACAAAATTTCCTTCTAGATACTAGCATTTGATCATAAACAAGCTTCTGTCCAAGTTTGGTACAAATCCAAAATAGTATAAGAAAGTTATTAAAATTTTAAAAACTTTAACCACAGAGTGAATACGTTGTTTCTGGGCAGAAAATCTAAGTCCATTTAAAAGTAAAATACGGAAAATGGATTTATTTTTTTACAAAATTTCCTTCTTGATACCAGCTTTTAATCATAAACAAGCTTCTGTCTAAGTTTGGTACAAATCCAAAATAGTATAAGAAAGTTATTAAAATTTTAAAAACTTTAACCACAGAGTGAATGTGTTGTTTCCTGGCAGAAAATCTAAGTCCATTTAAAAGTAAAATAAGGAAAAAATGGATTTCTTTTTTTACAAAATTTACTTCTAGATACTATCTTTTGATCATAAACAATCTTCTGTCCAAGTTTGGTACAAACCCAGGATAGTTAAAGAAAGTTATTAAAATTTTAAAAACTTTAACCACAGTGTGAATGTAATATTTCCCGGCAGAAAAACTAAGTCCATTTATAAGTAAAATACGGAAAAAAAGGAATTTTATTTTTACAAAATTTACTTCTGGATACTATCTTATGATCATAAACAAGCTTCTGTCCAAGTTTGGTAGAAATCCAGGATAGTTTAAGAAAGTTATTAAAATTTCAAAAACTTTAATCACAGAGGGAATATTTGTGGACGCCGCCGCAACGATGACGCCGACAGAATGTAGGATCGCTATGTCTCACTTTTTCGACTAAAGTCGAAGGCTCGACAAAAAGGAAATAAATGGGGAATGCGTCCATGGGACACAGATGATGCCTCCACTTGCATATAACATTATAAAGGGACAGAACTCAAGAATGGTAAAAGTGACGCTACCCAAATTTGTACTTGATCTGAGTTTTGTGGAAATAAGCTTTGTATATAAGTTTCATAACATCTGGTCGACACAAACTAAAGAGAGAATGGAAACGAAAAATTCAGCAATTTTATCATTTGATTTTGATTTTTTGATTTTTGGTGTTTTTACACCATTTTTAAGCACCGCTTTTGGGCTATTTCGTGGCGGTCAGTTTTTATTGGTGGAGGAAGCCAGAGTGCCCGGAGAAAACCACCGAACTTCGATAGGAAAACTGACAATCCTAGTCAATTAAGATTGGAGTCGAGTGCACCCGCACGAACTCACAACCTCAGTGTTGACTGGCTAGTGATTACAGTAGTAACTACTTACACCACTCGGCCACCCTCTGTCCCATGTGAAAGACCTTGTTAGTGGTTGTGAGACCAATAAAGGCCAGTATAACCCAACATATGTTTTGTGGTAATAAGCATTGTGTAAAAGATTCATAACATTTGGTTGAGGCAAACTTAAGTTAGAGAACAGAAAGGAAAAATTCATCAATTTGTAAAGGGGCATAACTCTAAAAAGGTAAAAAGGTAAAAAAAACATTTTTTCATATTAACATGTTCAAAATGCACTTTAAAATGACACTTATTTATGAATTCTTATAAAGGTGTTCACAATTACACAAATCAGCATTTTGCTTTAACAGATTTTTTTTTTCTTCAACATTTATTTTATCAGATAGAAAATTCTTATCACTACAGCTTAGAATATTCATCATACCCTTGATTATACTATATCAAGTTAAATAATAAGATTCATGACATTTGGTTGAGGCAAACTTAAGTCAGAGAACGGAAAGGAAAAATTCAGCAATTTTTCCATTTGTAAAGGGGCATAACTCTAGAAAGGTAAAAGGTAAAAAAAAACTCAAACTTGATCTGTGTTTTGTGGTAATAAGCATTGTGTATAAGTTTCATAACATTTGGTTCAGGCAAACTAAAGTTAGAGAAAGGAAACCAATTTCAGGACGTACAGACATTGGTAAAACTTAATGCTCCTCTCCACTATGGATTGAACCATTTTGTCTTCTAATTAACTTTCATGTTTTGGTGCTGAAAGTTTACTGACTCATGATCTTGATAAACACAGAAGCTTGGAGCAAGTGAATAATAAGTGAGATGTGATAGATTGATGTTTATTTGTTTTATTTCATATTTTCCATGCATTCCCATTTGATAATTAAACTACATTGTATGTCACAATAGTTATTAGTTGATTTGTATATTAAAATTTTTCTTTTAGAAGCGGTTAACAGGGTGGTTTACTTTATCTTTCATCACGTTTTTTCTATGGAACTTGTGCTGTGTGACTGTCAAATTTCTTTAGAAATCTCTTCTCTTTCAACAGATATGTTTTCTGTGGAAGGTCTAGAATAATTTTTTTCAACCAATATATCCACCAATTTGTACATTTTCAGATATAATCCTTCCAGACTCTTATGGTTTCACCTGGCATGCCTCAACATCTAAAGGGCAGGTAGGACTTTTAAATGTTGTTAAGGATACAAGTGTATAAAAAAAGTTGGTGATTACAATGCTTTATCTTCCTCCACGGACAAAATGGAGTCTCAAATCTTTCAAAGTCTTATTAGGGGTTTGCAGATGATCACCTTTCAATAGCGGTATCTCTAGTCTTACATGTATGTTGTGTAGCTGATTATTGTCTTTCGTATCTTTTTTTCATCAGATGACAACTCAGGGAAAAGAGCTACATGTATGTGGGTGAACTTATAGGCTATTTCTTGAATTATATCTTTCACTGAAAAGATCGTCAATTACACACACCCTTATAACATCATTTAGCAGATAGAAGGCGCGCATGTATCTCTGCACTATCAAAGTTTCAAGCATCTTCAGGATCATAATTCTGCAGGGTACTCTAGAAATAATTGAAGTCCATTGTTACGTTCTCTCAATTCCTGTACAACTAAAGGGAGGGTGGCAACCTAATTAGATTTGAATTTTCCGAATATTTCGTGCTGTATAGCATCAAACTTTTACCGCCATTAGCTCACACATGTAACATGTGTTGAAAGTGACGATGCCTAATTTTGTTCACATGGTGATGGAAGTCACATGATGGATATAACTAACTACCGTATCTTGGACTGGCATATTGTGGACAAACAGAACCAGATTTCTTCAATTAGATATTATGTAGGAGCAAGAGGAGTAAATAGAACAGATGCACTGTTATCAAATAAATGCAGCTACATTTAATCATCAATGTTGATGGATAACTGGATACAAAATTAAGAAGAAAAAAGTTTTTATCATCCATGACTCATTATGTACAATAGTCAATACTACAAATCATAAAAAATCAATGACAATATTTGGTCACACCTGTCTTGTACTTCGTGCACGTTCTTTTTCTTGTCTCTCTTTTCGCATCTGTTCAAGCCGCTGCTTCTTTCTTTCTAATTCTGCCTTTCTGTCAGACATATTGACAGATTAGACTCTAAACCTAGCACAATCAGTCGATCAAATTATGATAATTTTTGCAGACAAACCGGAAATGAAATCACTAAATAATAAAGAATTGTTGAAACCGGAACGGATACGTCAATAATAAACCCAGAACGACTGATGAGCAGTTGAGCTCTTGGAATTGCTGTGTGTGTCGAAATTTAGTTTCCCTTAGCGCCTTAGTCATGGGAGAAGAGAAGTCATCTTTTCAGGATTTAAACCCAGTAATGCATTCTGTTGTCCCCACTCAAAATTTGATGGTAGTGTCGCCGTTTTCATAAATTCATAATCCACTAAATTTATATAGCCATGTATAATAAGGCTCAGGGTCTCAGTGTGCGTGCTCTATTCCAATATAATCTCTGGCATAAAACAAAATTGTCTTAAAATGTTCATCATTCATAAAAAAAATACTAAGTGGCATAAAAATATAATGGTTCTTGTATACATTGAGTGACATGTCTTTTAATTTCATTTATCGCCTTGGGTACCACTACTGTGGTCTCCTGGAAGCATGCTGGCCATGCACAGAAGTCTCCTGGTAGCATGCTTGCCTCGGTTGTCTCCTGGTAGCATGCTTGCCTAGGTGGTCTCCTGGTAGCATGCTTGCCTCGAGGTTGGCAGGTAGTGTGTTCGATCTTTGGCTAGGTCAAACAAAAGAGTTGAAAATTGGTATCTGCTTCTTCTCTGCTAAGCATGTTTGATTTATTAGTAAGAGCAAAGACTGGTATGAAAGCAGCCAGTTCGAGGTGAGGTACTTAATAGGGCTTGTTAAGGGATTCTGATGCGACCAAATCAGAAAACTGATACGGACTGAGAATCCCAATAGGGATTATGGTGCCCCCAGAGTCATAATAATGTGTCTGGGTAAGGTGAAATGTCTTCCTGCAAACTGGACCTTGTGAACTTAGCACCTTTAAAATTTGCCTCAGTCTGTACGACATGTACAAAGCAGGGTTCAAATTCATATATTACCGTATAGCGGGTGTAAAATTTTGGAATTAAGGGGCAACTAAGTATACGAAAAATTTTGGCGGTTTTTATTTTGGTGGATTCTTAAATCCCAATTAAATATTTTGGTGGATACTGAAATTGTTGCAGTTAAAAAGTTGTAAAACTTGACAAACAAGTGCCTATTGTTATGGTTAATTGATTTTTTTTACCGGAATGACCTCTTATTTATTGATTAGATTCTGATACAGTTAATCATTAGAATACCGCTAACTTAGATATTTGTTACAGGTATTCAAACGTCTTGTAAATTTTACGATTGTTTAGTTACGAAATTGACCGGAACTTTGATGTACTTACTAATTAGGTTACAAAATTATCATGAGTGTTTACAACTCTTATATAGTTTGAAACTAATTAATAAGGGTAATTACCTGATAAGAGTACCTTACACTCTTATTCTAATTGACACTTACTAATAAGGGTATACACACCTGACAGTGATTTTATAAAATACATTTATGTACAATGCCCTTTGACATTTATCTTGTTAAAACTAACATATACCGTTATTGACCTGCCGACAAGAAAAAAATAGGTTGTTTACAAAATCCTTTAACCATGTTAACTTCGAAACTACCCAACGTATGCATAAATTTTCGCGGAATTTATTATCCGCCAAAATAAGTGAAAATAAACACCCCGCGAAAATAACCCGCTATACGGTAATAACATGTTTCATCCTGAATATGCATCCAACTTGCCACTGGAAGTAAGCTGCCATCCATCATCAGAATTAGATTTCCTAGACATAGAGCCAAGCTAAAGTCAAAGGTCAAAAGTGTTTCATCATTTGAATATTCCTCTATAACAGTCAAGGGACTTACTTAAATGAGTGACTTTCTAAATCACTGATTCAAGTAACATTATGTCCATAAAGGTTGGAAGTAAGAGTTGTCTTTCTTTAATAATCACCTATTTAAGTAGTACAAATTAATTACTAGACTAAGTGATTTAATTTTATTGTAGCTTTAAATATAGAATACTAATGATCCAGGGACTAATTATGTTGCTAAAATTATCAGAACCAACATCTGTGTTGATAGGATGACCGGGTCATGTCAGGTGATAACCTTGTACTAAATCTAGGATAATGACATAAAAATCACTTGTTTAAGTATCATACCTCAATTTCCTTCCAAAAAATCACTTCTTTCAGTATCATTATTTTAATAACCCCCACTAATTTCAACACCCCCGAACAGTGAAATTTTGATTGCGAACAGTAGAATTTTATTACATAATCTATAAGATAAAACCTTGAACTTTACAGGAAAAATATTCCCACTGCTGGGAAAAATCTGTTAAGAAAGTATCAATTCATTATGTAAAGCCATTGTTATAGCATTTTTTCAACTAAAATAGAATTTGCAGCTAAATGATTGCATCAAAGGCATAAACCTTGCTGCTTAAAAGAAGCAAAAATTTCATTTTTTTCAATTTTACTAATGAAAAGATATTATCTAAACCTATGTGTTTAAAATTTTGGTAAAACTACAAAATTACAATTTGTGACAAAACTTCGAATTTGCTACTTAAATAAGTGATTTAAAAATCACTTATTTCAATAAGTCCCCTGACTGTATAAATTTCATTTAAAAACCATTTTTTTTGGAAAAATTCTACTAAAGTTATTTCTTGTTTCTTCTTATGATTATGAAACATTTTTATGATTTATATTTTAAAATCACTGTTATATCTATCTATATCTGTTTAGATTTGAATCAAACATCCTACTACACTCGGATGACATTATTTATTATCTAGAAGTGAAAAAAGATTACAAAACTGTTTTTAAATATACAAAGTAAAAAAGTATACTTGGTTCACTTTGGAATGCATAGGTAAACATTAAAAGTCAAATTATTTATCTTTAAGTTAAACGGTAAAACTTTTCAAAATTCATTTTCATTTTGAGAAAAATACACTTAAAACAAATCAGTTTCTAAATAAAAACAGAATTGATAATCCTTTCATTGTACTTAAGTAAATATTTTACTGTAGTCATGCAAGGACACCACTCTGTATCAACTTCTCTACCTCAAATTGAGAAATGAAATACTAGACATTCACTGTAAAGCTTCAAACCATGCAGTTAGAAGATAATTTAACCGAACCCAAATATGTTTCTCATTATTAAACTATTAAAATTACATTGTTACAAACAAAAACACCTTAGCACTTAATGATTGAAATTGTGTATGCTTTTAAAACTTTGTATGTCCCAGGGTGTATGCCTATGATAATAGAGGAGCATTATGTTTTTTATCTGTCTGTCCATAGTCCATCATTCATGATTGTCTGTCTGTCTGTATGATGTTTATTCTGATTGTCAGTTTTATTGTGTGTCTGTCTGTGCCATATCAGGTTAAAGTGTTTTTATACCATGAAATTGTTGTCACATCAACTTGAAACATAGTACAGATGTGTATTATGTTGTGAACTTAGTAATTGTATGCCAAATTACGGTTTGGCACCAGTTTCATGGTACGCTGAACATGGAAATGTGATTGGGTGAAACCAGTACATTCTCAGATAAATTTTTTGATTAAGGTAGATTGCCATGCAGTTGTGGTCATATCAACTTGAAACTTAATATGCATAATAGAAAAACAAAGGATATGGGGTATCCATCCATTACACAAAATCAGTACATGTACAGCAAAAAAACACACTAAAGGCAAAAGAACAGCACTTTTATTGATGTTTTTCATCTCAAAGTCATAGTGAGGCCTTCAACACGGAGCCAAAAAACTCACCTCACTGCAAGTTTAAGACAGCCCCTAGTACTGGCTTGAGGGGAATTTTTATGTTAATTTTGAGGGGAATTTTTAAAATTATATGCCAAATTACGTTTTCGTGCCAAATCACAATTTCACTGAGTTTACTGATAGTATTCTATTTATTAGAATATTTTTTTTTATTCCATTTTAGGAACTACTAAAGGAAGTTATGAATGAGGTTATAGATGAAGTTACTTTAGGGTTATGTTTTGAAGTCCACAGAGCATATAAAAAAGGCACTTTATTCTTAGCTGATACAGACCCAAAGTAAGTAAGATATGATACAACCTGTCAATGGGTAACATGAACATCAGATACAATGTAGTACAAATGTATAGATAGGAGATTTATTAAATAAATTAGTGCAAGTTAGTCTAATATCTTCTTTTTTTTGAAAAGAGAAATAAAAATACAGCAAAAATCAGTTTAATTAGATTGGGTTTAAAAAAAAAAAATAAATAAAAAATTATTAACTGTGCAAAGATGCACAATTCATTTCAGATAGGCGGTAGTAGGGTAGCCTTTTAATTCCTCTGCCCATATCGTAAACTTGGATATGTATGATGGTTCGTTTTGAAGTTGGGACATTTTCACATGTGTGGTTAAATTTTCGGGGTACCAAGTGAGATTCATTTTTCAGTAATTTAGCACACCCGAAAAGCCTTTTGTGATGGGGCTTTTCGAGGTAAAAAACCCCTTTTTTCACACAATAAGTTCTTTGAAAATTTAGTTCTTTGCATACATTTAATAACTCCATAGTTTTTATACCTTTTGTCTATGGTTCTCTGCTCTCCAAATCAGCACAAATGGTTAAGCTCAGTCTCTAGAAACATGTACAATATCACAGCACAGAGATTTTTTGTTTACACACTACTTTTGAGTTCCTCAATTTGAGGAACATTAAGTGTAAGGATATTGACCCAACTGTGTTTTCTTCATGTTATTTAAGGAAATTGCATGAGTTTTGTTAATCTACAGCTATATAGAGCTATATAGTGATATCTAAATGATTAATGTAAAAATAAGGAGATGTGGTATGATTGCCAATTAGACAACTTTCTGCCAAAGTTCAAATGAAGTGGATGTAAGCAATTATAAGTAACTGTACAGCCATCAACAATGAGAAAAACCCATACCTAATAGTTGGCTTTAAAAGACCCTGACATGAAAAATATGACAAAACTCAGATGAGAAAATTAACGGCCTAATTTATAAAGCAATATATGAAAAACAAATATGACAGACATGAACCAACAACAACCACTGAACTACAGGCTCCCGACTTGGGACAGGCACATAAAGAATGTGGCAGGGTTAAACATATTTGAAGGCACCAGATACAATGTGGTAAATAAAATACAAATGATATAGTTTTACAAAATTTATAACTCTACAGTTCATTTTACATTTCTGTTTCATATATTTTCAAAACTCTACAATTGATAAGATGCTATATAAACAAGTTACTTTTAAATACATTGTACAGGAAGTGTTATTCAGGATATTCCTTTTAATATTTTTTTTTTATACAAATTAAAGTAATAGCAATGAAACAATGTGAGTCATATAAGTTTCACTTTGCAATTTTTCTAAATTTTCAATAGCTGTAGGTGGCATACAAATATCTTAGTCTGTACACACTTACCTGTCTGAAATATCAAACAGTAATTAATTTGTTATTTTTCAGATCACAAAAGGACTTCGGTAAGCCTTTTTTTTTATAGATGATTAGATACTAAGATTGCAGTCAAAAGCATTAAGTTGAAGAAAACAGAAACAGAAAGCCCTAAAATCTAAAAAAAAAGACAACCCCTTGATCTATTTAATAAACCAAACAGTAGACAGTATCCCACACAACATTACACAGAAAACTTAACGAATGGGCAACACAATTCTCACCTAAAACCAGTGGTAATTGATGCTTTGAAAAGATCAGTAGTTCCTGCTCTACTGTAATCCCTCCTAAATTCAAAATTCATTTTTAAAATGGTGAAAATAATAAGAATTGACTCTTTAAAGAAATATAATCAAAACATGCAATATTGACATTTATTTGATAATTCTAAAATGAAAAAAGTTCTACTGTAAACTTTTGAGATGAAAAAAGGTGTCAGTATTGAAAAAAATAAATATACCCCAGATCTTATTGTTTCAACAAAAAATTGTTTATCTGTTATTATAAGCATTGTACTGGAACCAATAGATACTCAGGTATTAGAACAAGATTTGCCCTTGTAGATTATTATTTCAGGCATGTTTGAAATTTATTCCATATATATGAAAGGTTGTTAATATATCTCTGTTATCAGTTGGTTCCTTACTTGGTATTGAAGAGTTTGACAATCTAATTGATAGACTCTGTTACTATGTTTTAAGCTCTTTTTCACTATATAATGATTAAATAATTAAATTCATATATTGCTTCACAAATCCTTCATACTTCAGTTAATGTAATTTATTCTGTGTGCCAAATAAATGTTTTGTCCTTTTCATAGAAATTGTTGACAGATTTGGTGTTGATGTGTTTGGACAACTGCCTACAAAGAAACAGTTTGAATGTATTTGTCCAAATTGTCAGAGAAACATGGCTGCATCTAGATTTGCTCCACATCTTGAAAAGTGTATGGGCATGGGCAGAAACAGTTCTAGAATTGCAAGCAGACGACAGGCTGCACAACTCGCCAGAGAATCAAATGACAGGTAATGGATTTTACAATCATAGTAGCAAGTGGGTCTATTTTAATGTTGACAAAGGACTTTTGATGTGAAATACTTACACATATTTTCTGTAAAGACGTAATTCTTTATATTAAAACTTACTTATAAAATAAAAATAGAATATCCAAAACAAAATTAAATTCTTAATCATTTTCAATAAAATTAATCAAGGCAAAACCCCAAAAGAAAGATTGACACAACATTAAGTATGCAACATTATACAAATAACACATAGATGAGAGAGTGATAGAGCATATTGTAACCCAGAGAAAACATTGTCAACCGAGGCGAAACCAAGGTTGACAATGTTTTTTTTGAGGGGTAACAATTTTCTCACTCTCAGTTATGTGTTATTTAATTTATAATACTGAATGTTCTGTTATTATTGTCAAAATTTTAAAAGAAAGTTATAAACTATGAGATGATGTACATAACAACCACCCATATTTGATAAAGCATGTAAATGATCAACTATCCCAGTGAAGGGTAATAGAATATAAGCCATTGGATATAGTAGAATGTCTACCTCTCATTAACCAATCAAAATCTGGAATTTAACATGAAGTATAATAATAAATTATATATACCAGAGGCAATTCAGAGTTTGACACATTGAATAGACACTTATCTAATGTTGAAGATTGTATGTTGACGTCTAAGCTACTTTTGATTTTTTTTGTCTTATTAGGTTGCTGTGTAATTGATGTATACCCCACAAGTTACTTGTAATATTCTCTGGACACTATATAATGTGGATTCATTTATTTTCGTGGATTGAAGAAAAATGATATTTTCTTGGATAATTGATTTCTTTTTTTGCCAAATTCTGCATATAAGCCTATGGAAAATTTGTACTTTGTTGAACATTTAAACTCATGGTTCCTGGATACCCACGAAATCCACAATAAATACGCTTTTAAATTATTTGTTTTGCAGACCATCCAGTGCTCAAGGTAAACGTGACAGTGATGAGAGTCCTGACGATGATAATGATGTAGACTGGAGCTATCATGTTGATAAAAAATGTAAGTCATCAAATAACATACATACATTCTACAGAATAGAAATGAAAAAAATAACCAAAAGTATTAAACAGTACAACAGGTCACTGGAACCACCACCACCAGATTCATCTGAGAATAAACTCATCTTTGAAATCAGGATTACAATTTTGTACGCCAGACGCACGTTTGGTCTTCAAAAGACCCATTAGTGACGCTCAAATAAAAAAAGTTAAAAAATTAAAAATGAAGTTGAAGAGAAAATAGACATACAAATAAAGAGAAATAAGAACAAACAATAAACAGGTAAAGAAATATCACTAAAGCAGTTTATTTTGAAACAAAAAGAGACGGAAGATACCATGAGAATCAAAAATTGAAATTCAAAAGACAATGAATATAGAGGAAACAAATCCAAAGCAACAAGACAGTTTACATACAAAGAAATACATGTTGTATTCCAAAATTATTTCATCAATAAGTCAGCTCTTGCTTCAAATGAAAAAATGAAAAAAAAGTGACATAAATACTGTAAATTCAGAAATTATTGCGTGCATTTATTATTGCGATTTTGTCATTTTAGATTAAAATACGATTTTAATTTTTGCGATTTTGAGAAAAATCCTGTTTAATTCATATTCAAAATTTCAAAATGCGAGTTTAAATTACTGCGTTTATAACCCTGTCGCATTTTTCGCAATAATAAAAACATCGCAATAATTTCTGATTTTACAGTAATCAGTTGACACAGTTCATTGCAAAATGTGGAAATGGAGTATTAACATGACAACACTGATAAATAGATGAATTATAATGTATTTTTCAGACATAATTTCAGGAAAAGAGTGATATAAAGCTGACAGTTTAAACATACTCTTCATGTGTTTTTTTTTCAGTGAAAAAATTAAAGAAAGACAAGATGACAAATTCTCCAAGAAGAAACAAAAATAAGATTAGAAATGGTATTTATTATTAATGCTCACAAGTAACCTTAAAGAACTTAACTATGAAACCCTCATCTTATATATGTTGATCAAGAAGAAACACCCTTCATTGTTAAATTGTACTGTGCTAACCAAAAGTGCAGAAGGTCTTGAGTAATTTCCCTTGCTAGTTTAAACTATAGACCTTAAATATGGTATTTACTGCTATTCTGCTGTAAAGCATGTGGTAGTAGTATTACAGAAAAAGGACTGATGGACTCAAAGTCAAATTGTATGGAAGGTAATGTGACAAGTCTTCCTTCAAATTGTTATCTTTTGAACAAGCACATTCAAGAATTGTGCTCAGTCTGTTTGTCAATTATTTGTGAATAATTTAATTTTGGATGTAACACATCTTCTGATTGGCTGAAAGTGTTTTGTCTATCAGCTCATAGACATAATTTTGTCATGTGACCGTGACGTCATCAACGTTTTTTCATGATTTACTCCGGCTTGAAATGGAATTTAGAATTAAATTATAAGGAATGACTGTAATATTTTTTCTGTCTTTTCGAAATAACATCAAAAATGTGGTGCACACTTTAAAATAACCCGATATGCGGATTATTCAGTGTTCAGCACATTTTTGATGTTATTTCGAATAGACAGATAAAATATTACAGTCATTCCTTAAATAATAATCATATAACATTAAACATTTTCTTCCTGATGCAATTGATATTTGTTGCTTGTTGTTAAACATCCATATATCAGCTTACTATGAATATGAACATAATGGTACAGTACATGAAAATTGAGTGAGTTTGTAAATGTAGAATTAGATTTGAATATCAGATGCAATTGGATATAAAAAACTTGCATAATGCGACTTTTTCCTAAAACATTTTATAAATATCAACTGTTTTCTATCATCAGCAGTGATTACTGAGTTTTCTGTAAAGGTCTGTTTTAGAAGAACTTATGGTAGATTATTGATATATGACATGCTCACACCGTTAAGTCTTAGAAATTTTTACATTTCTTATTGAAAATATGCAAATATATTAATAAGCATTTATGTTCCTGAAATAGAAGAAAAAAAGGATGGTTTCAATGAAAGAAACAAACCAAAGACTTTAAAATTTGTACTTTCTGGTTTTCCTCAAATGCAAGTTAGAATGTCAGGTAAATGGGGAAAAAGTCACAAATTTGGTAGGAAAAAAATGTCAGTCCATGACAATGCAGGGAATCTTCATATGACATCAAAATGTTATCCTCCTGAATATAATTGAGTGTAATACTTGCAGTTGTCAATCAGTCAATTTATGATTAGAAAGTTTTGTACATTAGTATTTATTGTTTTTCAGGAGACAGTTTTCTGGAGAGATCGGTAACTCCAGAACCAAATTATGAAATGATGACAATAGGTTTGTACTATAAGTCTGGTTTATTCTATCAAAGTGAACTCCAAATAAATGTTTATTTAATAAAAAAAAAAAGTATTAATTTAAGGTTACATTTTTCTATTTGAATAAAAGCAGATGTAGTTTATACATCAATGAGACAGCAACCCAAGTCACATAGAAAAAACAAAAAAGACAATTTCAGGACCAATTGCTTATTCATCAAGAATACTAATTGTTATGATAGACACACAGCTGTAGGTATATTTTCACTATTTTTTAGTAAAAATTTCATAATGAGAAATCTAAAAATTATTATTTCGATTCTAATAGGACAAATACGGTAATTTAAAAACTGAAGCGAGGGTGGGTATGCCTTTTGTATGGCAGTTCTTTTTTACCCCCTGTTAAATAAAGTTAAAAAATTTCCAATAAATCTATAGCTTGCATGAACTATTTCTTAAATAACCGCTAGAAAAAATTGTTTAATTTTAATTCTAAACCCCAACGTTTGCTATTTTGGATTTACATTTTTTTCTCATATTCTACCGTCAAATCCACAGTTGACATTTCGTAACTAAGGAGCCGCCATGTTGACTTGCTGAAATCAGTAAAATTTTAATGTGCGAACAATGCAATTGAATAGAAAATAAAACAGCACCTACCGCAAAACTTCATTTTAATGCAATATTATCCGAATATCGATGGTTCACATAACGGAAAAAACATTCAGCTTTAGCGTTTTCATTTGTATGACGTCATGTTTTGAAATGACTTTAATGCGCCAAAATCATTAATGGACTTTCGCGGAATTTTATTTGATTTGACTTTGTACATTTCTCCAAGCTCTAATGCATTAATTCTTTTTGTAATGCATCAGAATAATAATAAATGTTCTGTAGTCTTTTTTCAATTACAATTTTTAACACAACAAAATCGTCATAGCGTTTGCAAATAGGTTATGATACATGTAGATTTACGTGGGAGGTATATTATAACAGCCAATATTATGTATTTCTCTGAGTCTGCGCTAAGTATAGATATATCGAGAATTTTATCACGGTGTTGTTTACAAAGCAAAAGAAGCATGTCATATTAGAATTAAGGTTTAAGTTGTTTACAAATATAGCATTAGTTTCATTAGTTTATTGGTTTAACCTTTATGAGAAATGATTAAGAAAAAACAAAAGTATGGAAAGCTAAAACAAAGTAAAGCAATACTGGAAGCCACAAAACAAAAGTCTATTTCAAACAAAAAAGTAGCGAATCCACAGAATATTGTTTTTTCTACTTTAATAGCATAGTATAGCCTTTTTATTGTTAATTTTATGAGTTGCAGTGTAAAAATGTGTTACAAAACAACAGTTTTAGGAAGCAGAAAGATAATCAAAATGGCAGCAAAATAAAACCAAATATAGATAAATTGTATCATGCAACAGTTTATGAATAATAACTTGCTCTATAGATAAATGTGATGTTGGGGACATTGCATGATTGATTTTTTGTTTCTATTTCCAGATGAAAGAAAAAATCTCCTGACACATGTAAGTTCTCTATCATGTTTTAAAATACTATTATAGTAAATAAAAGTCTTTAGAATATTTTAGTAGATAAAACATTATGATTGTGTGATAAAATCTTCCTGTATATTATTTTATAAAGCAATTATAACACGGTCTTTGGAAGTATTATGAAGGGTGTCACCGTCACTGTGCATTTTGTTAAATACATAAAATTGAAAAGGTTTTCCGGTCCACATCCTAAATGTTGCCATGTATGAATTGTCAGTCGCAAACAGATTAATAGGACAAGCCGTTATAAACTCAATAGTGTGTGTTTTTATGTGAATTATTTTTGGGGTTTTCTGTAGCAAATCAGGACTTTGCAAAAAGATGGGAGTATCATTTTTGTCTCGCCCGCGGCGAGACATAGGTATTGCTATCCGACGGCAGCGTAAACTATTTGTATAAAGCTTTATATTTCAGAATGGAAGAAGACCTTAATGCTTCATATCTTGTATGCAGATACCTTATGTTACGAAGTTTCAGTCTATCATGTGTCCATTGTCCTTTACCTTATTTTTATGGTTCCGTGACTGCTTGAAAATAAATTTCATTTTTTTTGTCTTGTGAATTTCTCACTTATTATGAGAAATAGGATAACTATATTTGGTATATTGATTCCTTGCATCATCTACATGTCCATCAGACAGGGTTCATCTGACCTTGACCTCATTTGATGGATCAATGATCAAGGTTAAAGTTACATGATTAGGTTGGTTTCTCAGATACTATAAGCAGTAGGTCAACTATATTTTGTATATGGAATGATTGTAAGGGGTACATGTCAGTCTTGCAGGTTTCATCTGATCTTGACCTCATTTTCATGGCTCATTGGTCAATGTTAAGTTTTTGTGTTTTGGTTTGTTTTTTCAAATACTAATAGCCATAGGTCAGCTATACCGTAAATTGGGTTATTTTGGTTGTAGTTTTATTTTGGTTTATTTGGTGTCTCCAATGAAAGTGCCAAAATTGAACACACGAAAATAAGGCAAACACTAAAAATTGAAACGTCAAAATCGTGTACCGGTACGACAATATCGTAATGTTAATTGTTGGGGAAAATATTGTATGTTCCATATATTTCCAACAGACCCAAATCTGCAAATTTAAACCTGGAAACAGTATATCTGTTCCTGATTAAACCTGATATAATTTGACAAAGACACTGTATAATTTTTACTGAATTGTCAAATTTCTGAAATTGTAAAGAAAACACAACACACATGTCATAAATATGACAGGTTATTGATGATTAGATACTGTTATTGGTAATTAGAATCAAAACTCCTTGTAATCCTTTATCTTCAATTAATTAACATGTCCTGCCAGAGGCATAAGGATTAAAATTTGAATCCTTGATCGTCAATAGATTAACATGTACTTCAATAGAGATGATTAAAATTTATTTCATATGATATTTGTAAAGAATAAATAATCTATTTAAAAATTGATTTTAATGTTTAAGACTTTATTTCATATTTTCATTCAGCTTTGAACCACAATATAAACGGAATTATTTGCAATTGCATCCGTATCTGATTCCTTTATTAAGTTAACTTTGGCGTGATTCTAGTTTGAGAAATTCAATGATATTTTAATTTGTCAATAAACGGGTAGATAATGGCAAATATGAATGAGCCTGCTCACTACTGTTGTTACAAAATTAAACATATCAATTTGACAAAGCACCAAAATTACACACACCAAAATAAAACACATGCCTTTCGAGAGTAAACTGCCAAAATATCCAGTCGCCAAAATTTCCCAATTTACGATATTTGGTGTATGGAATAATTGAAAGGTGTACATGTCTGTCTGGCAGGTATCATTTGACCTTGACCTCATTTTCATGGTTCATTGGTCAGTGTTAAGTTTTTGTGTTTTGGTCTGTTTTTTAATTACCATAGGCAATAGGTCAACTATGTTTGGTGTATGGAATAATTGTAAGGTGCACATGTCTGTCTGACAGAATTTAGCTGACCTTGATCTTTTAGTCATGGATCTTTAAAAATGTTTAAATGTTTATGTGATACTTGTAGTAAAACATTTTTCTTTTATACTTTCAACATAAAATCAATGGTCAGTAAAGCAGGCGAGACATTTCAGCGTGTGCACTCTTGTGTAAACTTTGCTCACAGAACCTCTCATTTTGCATTCATGAAATATATGATATATGGTGGCAAATATTGTAACACAATACAATAATCTCCCAATTATTGGTGCTTATTGCAGAATAAGTATATAATTCAAGTTGATTTATTAATGCATTATAATTTACAATATATTATAATGATAGGGATTTGTATTGTATTGAAATATTCCGCAAAATAATTCAATTAATAGATATAAGAAGATGTGGTATGAGTGCCAATGAGACAACTCTCCATCCAAGTCAAAATTTATAAAAGTAAACCATTATAGGTCAAAGTAGGGTCTTCAACACGGAGCCTTGGCTCACACCGAACAGCAAGCTATAAAGGGCCTTAAAAATATATGCATATAAAAAGTAGTGAAGATGAATACAAATATTTTCACTAGTTTGGCCTTGCATTAAAAAAGAAACATCTCTAATCATATATCTATGAAGATATGATAAATATATTTGTTTATTTTCACAGACTTGTGGTGTGATATCAGAACATACAAAGAAGATGTGTACAAGGTACAGATATATGTATTAATATTCATACATCAAAAAGTCAGAAGTCCTTATACAGGTCGTAAAATTATGATATTGGTCTGTTTCAGTCATCTAATGATACCTTTGGCTTAAAACTCATACTTTTGGTTTTAGTTGGTTGTGTAGATGGCCTATGAAGTTTCAGTCCAAATGGGTAGCCATATTTGGCATCCAAATGGATCTTTAAAAAATCTGCCAAAAATATCTTATATTTGCCTAAGAATGGAAAATGGTCATTATTTGGCACATGAAATTGCAAAAATTGCAAACTTCTTCAATCCTTTGTATTTTAATTGTATTGTTAAATGAGTGCAATAAGATAGATTGGTAATTTTTAAAAGGGTAAAAGGTCACTTGAGATGTCACTGTAACATCATAAATATGTCATAATGGATTTATTTGACCGAAGGTTATGGCCATTCTGAATAAATTTTCAGTTCCATATGTTGACCTATAGTTTTAAAAATCCCTTTCATTTGCTTTCTTTTGGATAGTTGTTTAACTGACTAGCATATCACATCCCCTGATTTTATGCAAATCCTTCCATTGAGTTGTACAGCCTACAGGGTACCTTGTATATGTAGATTGAAAAAAATTTGAATAAGATATTGCTTAATATTGAAAATAAAAAAATAAAAAAATTCCTTCTATTTACACAAAACAAGACTTTTTAGTGCAACCCTCCACCCCAAAATAAAAATGAAAAAGAAAAAAAATCAACATTGACATGGATCTAGTTTTAAATATTTTGAAGATTGTAATATCTGGAAAACTCAATTGAGAACACTGAAATTCTTTTATGCAGCAATTATTTGTTTACAATTTTTGAACCAAGTAATATTTCAATTACTCATAGTACTGTTCAGTTTTGATTACTTATAAGAATGTTTTGTTTTGACAGATCACATAGATGCCCTCAACATTCAGATGAACAAAGAATACAAGTTAGACAATTTCTAATGTAAGTAACATTTAGTATATGAATCACAATTAGAGACAAATCAAGAAAAATTCAAACTTTTCAAAGACAGATGTAATATGATAAATGATAAACAAAACTTTTCAAACTCTTTCTTGTTCATAGCGGTATTTTTTTCACAATTTATGAAAACATTTTTAGATGCTTTACCTATAATTTTCTAGGTGTATGTTACTATTTTTATTATTCCTTAAATTTGAATATACTTCTTTGACTGAGTATATTCTTTATTAGGGCCCAGCCTAGTGGCGGGTCGCCCTATAGTGACCAGTCTGTCCGTCCGTCCATAACAAATTGAGAGAACCATTATAATTTCATACTTTATACTTGACATGTATACACTGCTACTTTTGCATAGGTACTATTTCTGTACTTAAAATCTGTAGTACTGGAAATTTACTTTTAATATTAAGTACTATTTCTTTACTTTAAAATCATTGTAATATTTAGGTACCTGTATTTTACAGTACTTGATTTGTACTTAAAATTTTGGTACAGAAATAATACAAACAGTGATCACAATATTCCATGTTTGAACATCATAACTTTATAAGAGATTTAATATAGACAAACTTTCAAAATGCTGAAAATGTAACGGTGTAACCAAAATTTTGTAGTACTTGAATTTCAAGTACAAATCAAGTACTGTAAAATACAGGTACGTATATATTACAATAATTTTAAAGTAACAAAATAGTACTAAATATTAAAAGTTGATTTCCAGTACTACAGATTTTTGGTACAGAAATAGTACCTACGCAAAAGTAGCTGTGTATTAACCAACACCAGAGAGTGTGTCGTAATGTTTGTATAACTTCCTAGGTCAAAGTTCAGGGACAGTGGGGCCCACAGAGATGGCTCCCATCTCATTGATGTCTAGTTTCTGTTCATTACTGATTCCCCATAGACAACAACCCGACTAAAGAGCAGAAAACAGCCCAAGGCCAACAATGGGTCTTCAATACAGCAAGAAAACCCGCACCCGGAGTCCGGCTTCAGCTGGCTCCTAAACAATAATGTATACTAGTTCAGAGAAACAAACTCCAAACTAAACTCCGAAACATATAGATGAGTCCTATTGATCAAATGTTTTTAAATGTAACTTTGAAATATTTTAGATCAGGCGATGATGATGTACACATAGATATTGACACATTAGATGACCCAGATAGTGAATCTGTCAGAGATGCATTATGGGAAGAAAATTCAACGTCATCTTCCCCTGCTGGATCTATTGTATCTACTACAAGTAAGTAGAACTAAAGACACATAGTACCGATCTGAGAATACTCTCAGTTACTGAAAGCTAGTTCAAAGCCAATTGCAACCAATAAAACATATTTCCCAGACCAAAATATCAATCAGTACACATTTAATGTAAGTTAGGATGTAAAGAAGAGTCCGAGAAATACATCTCTGTTTAGTAAATGCATAACCTGTGCTTTATGCCTTTTCTGATGTCACTATGCTTAATCACAATGCCCTTTTCAAATTGTATGTATGCAGTGAAAATTCCATTCAAGAGATCTGCACCTTTTTAGCTCACCTGGCCTAAAAGGCCAAGTGAGCTTTTCTCATCACTTGGCATTTGTCATCCGTTGATAACTTTTACAAAAAATCTTCTCCTCTGAAATTATTGGGCCAAATTTAACCAAAATTGGCCACAATCATCATTAGGGTGTCTAGTTTAAAATATGTGTCCAATGAACCCGCCTGCCAACCAAGATGACTGACATGGCTAAAAATAGAACATAGGGGTTAAATGCAATTTTTGTCTATTATCTTGAAAACCGCTATGAATAGAGAAAATCCAACATGGGCAAAAATGTTCTAAATGATGAGATATACCTACTGTGTATTTGCTTTAAAACTGTCAGATGCTTCTTATATGAGTTATTGCCCTTAAATGACGGGTTTTACCGATTTTTTTCATGTTTGCCTAATATCTGAAAAACTATAATGGATAGGGAGAAACTTTATATACAAAGAATGATCAGCAAGACAAGATCTACAAATAAGTTAGCATGGTCGAAATCATCAGACAACTCCTTATTTGAGTTATAGCCCTTTAACAACGATTTTCATCATTTTTTTGCCTAAGATCTGAAAAACTATAATAGATAGATAGAAACATTATTAAGCAAAAAATATCAGCAAGACTTGATCTACAAATAAGTCAAATAGCAGAAATTATCAGTCGACTCCTTGTAGGAGTACTTGCTCTTTACTGACTATTTTTACCAATATTTTACATTTTTGCCTACTATCTTGAAAATTATATAAGATAGATAGACACTTCAAATAGCCAAAATGATCAGCAAGACAAGATCTACAAATAAGTAAAATTTTGATTAAATTGTTGGTTTACTCTTTATAGGAGTGATTGCATTAATTGATATTGTTTTTAACATTTTTTGTGTTTTGGGCAAAATATAAAGAAAATACTGAGAAACTGTAAACATAAAAAATTATCAGCAATACAAGATCAACAAAAAAAAAAAATTTTGTCATGAATTCTATTCTAGTCCACAATGTTGGAGAGAGTCTATTGTTGAAGATACTCATAGACCTAGATGAGCGACACAGGCTCTTTAGAGCCTCTAGTTTTTTTAATTTCAGCTGAAACATTTTAGAGGTAATAGATACAGGAATGAGGTACTTAAAAAAAACCCAGAGAAAATATCATTATTATTGTCTTTATCTGAATGAAATAGGTCAAATTGCTCAGCATCTATAGAAATTTGTTCTATACAGCAAAGCCTAGGTAATATTTAATCATAACAGAATCACCTTTGACACTGATATAGATATATAAGATTTATTTGTATATAAATATTTACATATAAACAATTCTAAATTGAAAACAATGTTCAAACCTATGATTGTGTGGATAAAAACCACAATTTTTATATGTGTGCATGCAAAACAAATTTCTTGGTAGAGGGGTCTCAATACAGCACAAACAACATTTTCCAAAAGACCAAAAAAGTGAAAAAGTATATTTTAACAAAACGCATTTGACTAGCAGGTCAAACAACGGATGTTCTTAAACCCTGTTGACTGCCATTGGCGATTACCAAATAAACAGATCACCAGATGTAACAAAATGGATCTTATTCATTAATTTAATACCAAACAGAAAAACAATAAACTTGCGGAAAAGATGGTATACCACAATCAAAAGGTGCAAAAATTAGTACACCATATCCGGATTTCGACAATTAATGTCTCTAAAGTGATATTAGGAATCGAAAAGGTATTTGGAAGGCTATATAATTTACCTCAATTTAGGATAGACTCTTGAATTTTGAAGAGTCGAAATAGGATGAACGGATCATATAAACCGATAGGCAAATATAATACAAGCCCAAACGAAAAAATATAAACAAGTCTAAATTGAAAACAACGTTCAAACCTATGATTGCATTGGATAAAAACTGCAATTTTGATATGTGTGCATGCAAAACAAATTTCTTGTAGAGGGGTCTAAATACAGCACAAACAACATTTTCCAAAAGACCAAAAAAGTGAAAAAGTATATTTTAACAAAACGCATTTGACTAGCAGGTCGAACAACGGATGTTCTAAAACCCTGCTGACTGCCATTGGCGATTGCCAAATAAACAGATCACCAGATGCAACAAAATGTACATATATTTACCTACTTGTATCAAATTTTCTTCAGGTTTAGCCATTAAAAAACGACCAGCTCAAAAGGCAAGTTCAAAGAGTAAAGTAAAGAAGAAGAAACCAAATCGATCAATGGAATCTATACATAATAACGATGAATTATTAGCTAACAGTAATTTGTATGACTTTGAATGATTTATATTAGTTATTTGTTCATTGAATTGTGTATTTAATGCAGTGAATCTTTGAAAATACAAATTATTTTATGATTCAGTTCTTTTAAAAACTATCTACCTAGATTTTTTTCATAATGTTGTGGTGTTTCAAAAAATATTTTAAACAGCTGGCTTTTGGATATCAATATGGCTACTTAGTTATTAAGGCTCCATCTCTTTAAATGCTTTTCTGCATAATTAAAATTTTGAAAGAAGCTATGCATTGATTGCCTTTCTCTCAAGCCTGAAAATGAAGTGATGTTGAAGTTATGCCCTTGAGAAGAACTAAAAGCTTACTTAGTTTCCTTATAAAGATTCAATGTATTACAGACACAATTCAAAGTCCCAGTGACTATAATCCAAAAATGTGTTGTATTATTCCAAAGTCTTTCTGTGTGTAATTGCAATCTTGTTTTATGAAGGAGTGAGAATTGTATACAATGTGTAATTAAATTATAGTCAAAGATTTTTATTTTAATTATTCCCTAAGAACAAAGAGAAACTACAATGCAGATTTTAATAAATATAGGAATTTTTTAAGTACTTTCTAAAACCTTTTCATTAGACATTACCTTCTTATATATCTTTAGCTTAATTTAATCGATGAGAGGACTAGAACATATGACATGCTAATAAATTATTGTATTATAACCTACTCTAGGAGTGAGATCTATATTGCGATCACCTAGTCTGTCATTATAACCTACTCTAGGAGTGAGATCTATATTGCGATCACCTAGTCTGTCATTATAACCTACTCTAGGAGTGAGATCTATATTGCGATCACCTAGTCTGTCATTATAACCTACTCTAGGAGTGAGATCTATATTGCGATCACCTAGTCTGTCATTATAACCTACTCTAGGAGTGAGATCTATATTGCGATCACCTAGTCTGTCCATCAGTCTGTTTTTTCAACAAATATTTTTGTCACACTTTTTCGTAGGTATTTATAAAGAGGATGCATTTGTATTGGGTCAGCATGTTGACAGTGTAAGTTGTATAATGTGAACACTTTTGGGATTTGTCAGACACCTTTTTCCTTTCTAAGGATTCGTTGAATTTTTCAATAAATTTAATGAACTTCAAATTTTCATCACTCATTTTCCATAACAACAGAACAGAATGACTTCATTTTTTGATCAGCAGATTGACATAGCTGCGGAACTGTAGCTCTTAGGTCCTTTTGATATTTTTATGCCCCCGCCACAGTGGAGGGGGCATTGCACCCTTGTCCGTCAATACATAAGTACGTCCAAAAATTAGTTTCCATTCTCTAACTTCAATTTGACTCAACCAAATGTTATGACACTTATACACAATGCTAATTACCACAAAACACAGATCAAGTTCGAATTTGGGTTGCTTCACTTTTATCGTTCTTGAGTTATGCCCCTTTATGATATGTTATATGCCAGCAGGGGCATCATCTGTGTCTCATGGACACATTCTTCATTTATTTGACAATTTGTGGTCTATGGTGCGAAAATTGTACAAAAATATCATAAGGACCTTTAATAGAGCTACGGTTCCGCAGCTACAGCTTGACAGTGATGCCTTGTAACATAAGTGTGTTTTGGGCATTTGTCAGACCTCTACTTCCTATTGGCCAATACTTTGAATATTCAACATATATCTCCCGTACTACTTAACAAAATGACTATAGGTACACTTTTTGTGTATATCATGGCAGTGATGACTTTTAATAATATATAAGCACTTTTTTATGTCAGACTTCTACTTCCTGTTCTCTCTACTTAAGATTATGCTTAGTACAACAAAGTGTGCAATTTCTTGTTTTATATGAATGGATACAATGTCTTGTTATTTAATGTTACTATGTTGTAATGCTCATTCAATTTATTACAATAAAATGATTATAAGTTGTAGTTGTTTTCCTAGCTAGTTTAACCTTATGCAACTAATAGTGACGCTATTTTTAAATTTGATTTGTTGATCCAGACTCTTCTACCCTTAACACTGTTTTTTGAGGAATTTCTATTGGAATGCTGGAGATTCATAATTATTCGTTGGATACCAATTTTCTTTGATTTCGTGGGTAAAGGTAATCAAGAATTTAAATGTTCAAAGAAGTGCAAATTTACTATAGGTTTGTATGCACATTTTGGCAAAACCACGAAAATTCCATGAAACTACAATGTTTTCTCAATCCACAAAAATTAGTATCCATGAAATAAATGAATCTTCAGTATCTAACTTATCAAAAGATGTAGCTGACCAGCACTAGTGCTAAGAAGCAATTATCAACCTGTAAGTCAAATTCAATAGGACTTTAGTCCATTAAAAGTATGTATGGTAAGCAAACAGGAAACAACTTAATTGAACAGTAACTATACACACCAAAACTATTTTAAGTGTTTCTTGGACCATTATTTTGGTACAGTAGGTTAGGATGATCTAATTATACTGTGCTTACCCCATGTCAGGAATCTCTATCAAGGTTGCCTTTTATCATAGAAGTTCGTTACTATTTATTTATTTATAACTTGCGTAAGACTTTTCAGAGAAAAAATTTGTCTTAAAATTTAATTGATGACAGACGCCAAATAATGAGAAAAGTTCACATTGCCCTTTGAGAATGCTGTTTAATTGAATTTCACCTTCTGGAAAATCTTCAAAATGTACTGCTATACACAAACTGAGTTGCACATCTTCAATATGTATCTGAAAGTAAGAAGCCTCTGGACTGAAACTATAGAATTTTTATTTACTCTGGATTTATTTATTTTTGACAGTACCAACTTTCCTGGATTGAGGAAATCTTGCATTTTCATGGATATTTCATTGTGTGGTTTTGCCAAAGTGTATACAGCCCAATTGAAAATTTGTATTTTGGTGAACGGTTGAATTAGTGGTTCACCTGTACCTGGTGTTTTTACTTAAATTTGCACTTTGTTTAGCCACAAAAAATTACTTTAAAAATGTAAAACCTGACCAATATGGACAGATAAAGGAGAAGTGGTCCGATAAGGGCCAATTTTGGCCTAAAAAAATTGAAGTACATCTGATGAAAGATTTTTTTTACATTTTTTAAGCACTCAAGTGTCTCCTTCAGTTTATTCAATTAGTTTATGTAAAGGGTTTGAACAGATTTGGTCATTAAAGATGCTCAAATGCTAGCTTAAATATTTAAAATCTATCAAATATGCTATAAAACGTCACTTTTCAGATGGTGTTAGTCTTAAATGTAAGTGGCTGCATTCGTGTTCTGACAGTCTCAATCTTTAAATATGAATTCTTTATTCAATAAATACGCGTCACGAATCCATGATTTTGATTGGTGCTCTCTGTGAGAGAGAGCCAATCAGCTAATAGCTCAATGTTATCGAGATAAGTAAATCCAGAGCTAATTCCGAATGATTATTTGACGATTTTTTATTGACAAGGCCTTCAGGCATTAATGTAGCCATCGTAGAGCAGTGGAATATAACGACTGAATTATTCAGGTTAATTATCATCAAATACAATATCTATTTTAATATTAAGACTGAATACAAGTGCAGCCACTTCCAATTTAGAAAAAAAACATTTAAAATTTCCACAAATGCTAAAATTTTGAAGATTTCAGCAATTTTGCATGAATTAATGATGCTAGTACTTGATGTATGTGCATTGTATTGTAAAAAAACACCCATATTTTATGTAACAAAAGTATTCTTCTTTCCAATAAATAGCTAAAAGTTTTAAACAAATTTGTAAAAAGCTATATTTTGGGGCCCTAAACTGAATCTTACCAGGCCTACACCTTTTCAATGGCAAAGAAATACATGTAGTATTTTTTGTAATCTATGACAGTACAGAAATTCACAACATTTTATTAACAAATTATTTACATATCTATTTTATACACATCAAATGACATCATCGTTTAAAGGTTTATTGGTTTCTTTAAATAGTTCAAATAACTGAGCAACTTGATCATTCTGGAAACAGTCTAAAAGTTCAGGAGAAATGTTAACTCCTATAGTCTGCACCTTCTTTCTAGCAGCCAGCTGCTTTCCAATGGTTAAATAATACTTCTGTAATAAACAAAAATATCGATATATATAGAAATCATATGTTAACTGAAAAGATTGATTGATTGATTTTTGTTGTTTAACATATTTTTCAGCACTATTGGCTATATTGTGGTAGTCAGTTTTTAATGGTGGAGGAAGCCAGAATGCCTTGAGAGAACTACTGACCTTGTCAAGAAAACTAACTATCCTAGTCAATTAAGATTGGAGTCAAACGACCTGCCACGTGCAGGATTATAAATCACAACCTCAGTGTTGACAGGCTAGTGATATAGTAGACGGACTACTTAGACCACTCTACCACCAAGGCCCCTTTAACTGATAAGCTTATATGTGAGAAGCCAAATATAAGCAAAAAATAGTTTAGTAATATAAACTGCCTGAAGAAGCTCACAATGTTCTAATGAAGAAAACAAATATAAACTGAACATTGACCTCTAAATGTATTTCTCACTTGTTTGCTGTCCCATTGAACCCACTTCTTTTATTCATATTGTGATAGAATTTATCTTACTTTTCTAAGCTTACAATATATATATAAGTATGTTTTACAGAAAAACAAAATCTGTTGTCTTCCTTTTTACCCTTTACCTGTTTGCATGATAGAACTGAAAATTCTCTTAAAGCATCTTTACTATTCTAAGCACTCAGAAACATTAAAAAGATAGAGGTGATCAAAGAGTAAACACTCTCTCTGACACAAAAAACATTTATCATAGAAGCAAGGCAATTCATTATCTAATCCACCAAATAACCGAAAAAAAAATCTGTATTTTATTGTCAGTGATAATTTTAAAACTAGACTAGAATTTATCATGATAATATTTTGAACTTTCAAGTAATTTTCATCGGTAAATAAAACAAAATTTGTACAGGGTTCCATGGAACCATGTGTCTTGCCTGCTATTGCTGCAGTCAGAGTAACAGTGTACAGGGTTCCATGGAACCATGTGTCTTGCCTGCTATTGCTGCAGTCAGAGTAACAGTGTACAGGGTTCCATGGAACCATGTGTCTTGCCTGCTATTGCTGCAGTCAGAGTAACAGTGTACAGGGTTCCATGGAACCATGTGTCTTGCCTGCTATTGCTGCAGTCAGAGTAACAGTGTACAGGGTTCCATGGAACCATGTGTCTTGCCTGCTATTGCTGCAGTTAGAGTAATAGTGTACAGGGTTCCATGGAACCATGTCTCTTGCCTGCTATTGCTTCAGTTAGAGTAACAGTGTACAGGGTTCCATGGAACCATGTGTCTTGTCTGCTATTGCTGCAGTCAGAGTAATAGTGTACAGGGTTCCATGGAACCATGTGTCTTGCCTGCTATTGCTGCAGTCAGACTAACAGTGTACAGGGTTCCATGGAACCATGTGTCTTGCCTGCTATTGCTGCAGTTAGAGTAACAGTGTACAGGGTTCCATGGAACCATGTGTCTTGCCTGCTATTGCTGCAGTTAGAGTAATGGTGTACAGGTATTTGCTCAAAACTAAGTTCATGTATCAATAAAGAACAGATTTTTTTTAAATCAAAAACTTTTTTTTCATATGCTATTTCTTCATCTTGAAAAAGATTCTGCCGAAGCTATATAACATTCCATGAAGGTTTGACAGTTATTGTTGTCTAAACAGTTTAAACCCAGAATGTATCTAAATGTTAACTGCAAACAAACTAAGTCCATTTTTCTGTATTTCAAAATTTTTACCAGATATTATCTCTTTTGTCATCAAAAAATTCTAACAAAGTTTCATAAAATTCTACAAAGTTTTGACAAAGATATTGATTTTTTAAACAACTTTAACCCAAGCCTATCTTGTTAAACTGCCAAAAAAAAACATACTAAGTTCTCTTAACAGTAAAGTACAGAAAAATGAATACTAATATTTTCTTATTCTGTTCTGGATACTGTCTTTTGATCACAAAAAAAAGCTAATGTTCAAGAGAAGTAATTATGCATCTTACATGCGCCATATGAAATATGTCTGTATGTATCATTGAAAAAGATAAATCAAAGAACTTGATAGCTCTAGGGGAATAAATGTATAGTTTCCAAACTAATCTAACACTACATGTGTTCCTCATTACAGAAAAATGGAATTCCATATATTCTTTCAAATTCTAACAGGATGCTCTGCTTCAGCTTTCTAAACAAAGCTGTGTTCTAATTCCAATAAAACATTAGGTACATATGCATGATGTCACAACTGAATTTCAAAGTTAGTTAAATTTTGAACAACATCTGAGGTAAAAATAAGATCTCTGTGGGAGTTGCTTGCTAAAAAATTCCATAAAATCTTTAAAGAAGTTGCACCTGTGCCTGTATAGCTCACTTGGTAAAAAAATAGCCAGTCTGCTAAAAAGGACTTTTACATGTTCATACTAGTTATTATTTGTGTTGCTTATTTTTTTGAAATTTACATGTTTTACCAAGCTCCTATTGTTTTTTGAGATGACTGCTTAAACTGCAAAAACAGTAAAAATCCACATTTCAGGGGGAATATCTAAAACATTGTCAGATGTTCTTAACTTTCAGGGTAAATAGATCTTGTCATGCTGATCAATTTTGCAGTTTACACTTATCACCTAGCTCCTATAAGATTACATCAAGAAAACTGTGAAAGTAGATAAAAAATGTATATTTCCAAGAAATAACTCCAAAACAAGTAGACATATTTTCCGAAATTTCAGGGTTAATAAAATTTAACATCTTGATCAGTTTTTCAATTCACACTTTTAACCTAGCTCCTATATTTTTCATTACAACCAAAAACTTCAAAAAGTGGAAAAAACAATTGTTATTTCAGGATTAACTGCTCCATAACAGGTCAACAGATTTTTTCCCACTTAATAGGTTGGATACAT